ATTTGCATTCAGTAAAATAAATTCAATCAAAGAAAAACAAGTTAACATTCATTCTATCAATCAAATAGAAAATATCAGATATATGTATAAATATTTGTTTGATATTTGTGTAAATCTATAAGTTGAATATTAATAGAACTAAATCAAATGAATTGAGAATATGACTTACGAAATGATTGTATATTAATGATTTCAAATATACTTAGGATATACTAAACGTAGTAGCAGGAGCACTATAACATCTTATAGAAGATGTGAGAACATGTTTTCTATATATAGGATAGATCATAAATAGTACTACGATAGAAAAATTGAAATATCTTCGCTTTGATCCAATCGAATGGACTGATTTTTTTCTTAGTTGTAAAAGTTTGTTCTCTTCATACAGATAACGTAAATAAATGCTACTGTTCAGTTAGATTTTTTGGTCTTATTCGAAAAAGAATTTTGAATTTTTAAACATGAAATATTGGTTTAGTGTTTAAAGAATTGCGGCGAAGTACAAATTTCAATATTTAAACGAACTAATTTGGAAAATTAACTCTATGCGAATCAAAATAGTACCATTTATAAAGTTTGTTTTGATTTCTTCTTCTGATTCGTTTAGATAACAACTGAAAATTATCTATGAACAACTTCATATTTGAAAATAGATGATTGAAAAATTATTTATGGTCTATTCTGTATATACTAATTGTTCAAATAATCCTCTAGAATTCTATAATATTTCATAATTCTTCAGTTAGTATTATAATATTCGAATTTCGATTAAAGCTGTTAACCACTGATTTAGATCATTAAGGAAAACTTTCATTTCTACATTGAAGTTCATATTGCACTATCTTTTATTTTTTGTTGACCAAACTTCATCTGTCCGAACAATTGAAAGATGATGAAAAAAAAGGTTGAAGATGAAGTATGATCTATATCTTTCATGATCACCATTAAGATAAGCTATTTCGATATTCAACAAGTGATAATCATTTTAAATTTATAATCTATCAGTATATATAGAAAGAATATTCTCTCGAGCCTTCTATCAGGTATTATTATAGTACTACTGCCATTACATTTGGTATGTTCTACGTAGACACTTAATATGAATATAGTTCGATTAAAAGTTTTGCATTGCATGTTTTGTATAGATATGAGTGGAACCAAAAAGCTCTTGTAGAAGCAATAAATTTATGACGGAGTATATTAACAAGAAATTCGAACTTATCAACTTGAGCAAAGAATAATATTGACTTTTACGTCAACAAAAACAAAATTTTAGCTAAGCTTGAAATCTGAAACAAATTTATCACAATCGGATCAAGACTGTTTTAATTATGTTTAATCTAGAATTAAAAGTAAAAAGAGATAGAGAAATGATTATTACGAGAGAGAACAATCGTCATAATTATGAAGAATCTGCTACAACAGAATATGATCATGATCGTAGAATATCTTTAATTATTTGACTTTTTTGTTATGAGCAGTAGTTATCTAATTTGCCTTTTACTTTTTTACTTTACATATATCAAAAGACAAATGAAGAAACAAACATTAACGCCTACAATCCTAAAAAACATGTACTTGAATTTCACTTGAGAAACTTTTAAGTATCTTCCAAGTATTCATACCATTTATCGCTAGAATATTTTATTCTCGTCAAAATTATGATAATTTTCATTTTCGTCTTTGTATCATCATATATATATGCAAGACATCCAAATCATATAAATGAAATGGTTATAAACTTAAGCTATAACAATTATAATCTTAATAGTTTTCTTTTGTCTATTTGCTCAGTAATATTGAACAGCAAATAATGGAATATACAAGAGAACATTTGTACTAAAAATTGAATGATACAATTATCAAATAATTTGTGTCAGGGCATGGAACGAACAAAAAAAAGAAAAGAAATAAGACCAAAGACAACAAAAAATGAGATGTTCGTTTTCTTCCTCCACACTTCTTGATCAAACTTCATTTTTTCTTGCAAATATTGTCTAACGAAAATTCATTTTCTTTTTCAAATAGCAAATAGATAGTCTCTATTATACACATTCGATAAGAAGAAAAAAAAAAAGAACCTTCAATAATATATCATTATTTTATATGCATACAATATACATGCCGACAGTTCTTGTCTGTTTGTCAAGTGTCAATACACCAAACATTATCATGATACTTAAAGTAAAGATGAAAAATGAATGTATATAGATTTGATTAGGTTTGTTCAATTTCAAGAAAAAGAAACAACAAAAAAAGAAAAAGAAAAAGAAATTAAAGTTTATTCAAAATTACAACCGCTCATCTATATATAAAGAGTGAATATGTTGAAAGTAATGATCACAAAAAAAAAAACAAAGAAGAAAAGAAACTCTTATTTCATTCAAGCATTACTATGATCAACCAACAAGGAAAAAAACGGGCAAGTTTATCATGCAGAAACTTTCTTTTTCTCAGTTTTTTTTTTTTTTTGTGTTATTACCATCTTAAAATGTTAAAACTTTAGTAAGAATACGTGAAGAATTGAGTATGTAAGACGACATGAGAAAGAGTAGAAGAAACAAAAAAAAAAAAAAAAAAAAAAAAGAACAAGAAGAAGAAACGGAAACTCATTTTTATAGTCACAACGAGTGTTAACGATAAATGACGATTCCCCAAAAGACTTACTCTCACTCTCTTCTATTAGACTACCTATCACATCACATAGTTATAACTAGAAGCGATACTTTTTCTTTTTGTTACTCACACACAAACATAACACCTATACACGAGAACAGCCTAAGGGAAATTAGATTTGTGCCGACTATTAGACATTTGATATGTCGACAAATGCAAACATTTTATGAGGATTTTACAACTCTAACTAGCTGATGATGAGAAGAAAATAAATAAGTGTTGATTTTATTTAATAAAATAACTTTTTCTCTTTTTTGTCTTCTTTCCTTTTATTTTGTCCAAAAATGAATAGATGAGAAAAAACAAACAAACAAATACATAAATAGAAGGATATGTTATTTTATAATGATTTTTCTTTTCTTTTTTTTTTTCCAGGTTTTTTTTTTCTGGTGATGCAATATATAATATGGAACGTTTGTATTTATAAAAATGTAATAACTTCCTATAGTCATCAACTGCATGAAGAATATTCTAAAGAAAAATTTCAACAGCTGAATAGCACGAGCAAGTACTCATCAAATGACAACTAAACAAACTGACTCTCGCTTTCTCTCTCTCTCTCTCTCTTTTTATGCAAGCTGATGTCATCCAATTGATGAAATGAAAAAATATTTAGAAGTCCTATATTATTATAGGCTATAAATGCAGGTTTTGTTGATAATCTGGACATAGAATGTTGATTTGTTCGTTGTCGTCAAAACCTGTATTTAATTAGCATATATATTAACAATTTTTTTAAAATATAATAAACAGTATGTAAAAAGAAAATATTTTTATTATAGAAATAAATTTGTTGACTAATTCATTTGCTTTTTTTTTTGTTTTTTTTTTTAAACTTTTTTTTACTCTTATTTTTATTCATATAAGCAAGAAAGTTTTAAAATATAAAATTTAATAAAATATTCGAAAGTTTTTTTTTATATGAATGAAACAATAAATCATCGTTTTTAACTTGTAATTCTATCATATATTTCAAAGTAATTTTGTTTCTTGCAATTAATATAATGGAAGAAAAAATAATACTCGATAACAAATAGTATTCGAAGAAATCTTTGAAAATTCATCTTATATATATATATATATATCTTAATTAAAATAAAGACATTCATTTACATATGATGATCTATATGATAGTAATGGAAAACATACATTAGACATATGAAATAATTTACAAGAATTTCTTTTTTTTTTTTCTTTCTAACAATACATAAATATCGTTGATTTTTCATTTGTCTATAATCGTGCAAGGAAAAAAACTTTTCTAAAAACAAAAAAAAAAAGAAGTAGAATTATTTCGAAAAGTAAAAAGAACAATGCACTACTAATTAATACACATGTAAAAGATCTTAGATTTTTTTTTTGTTTTAATTTTTATTTCAATGAATAAATAAATTTAATGTTTACAAAAAAAAAAAGCTGTAGAAAAAAAAATAATATTGAAACATAGTCTTATGCATCTGGAGCATTTTCTGTTTCTTGATTTTCTGTTTCTTGATTTTCAGTAGTTTCTGGTTTTTTAAAAAATGGACTGACAAAAGCTTTTGTTGCTGGTCCTGATAATGAAGCTTTTGGAATACTAGTTCGTTGTTCAGCTGCTCCATTCATTGTACCACCATCGACTGTAACCATATCAGCATCATATTTTACAGTTGGTGCATTACTTGATCTTGATAATGACTTACGACGATAAAGAATAAAACCAATTATACCTACTACAGCCACAATAAGAATAATAATACCAGCGATAAGACCTCCATGATTTGGTTTTTTTTCTGGTGGTTTTTCTGTATTAACTAAAGGTGTTGTTGTTGTTGTTGTCGTTGTTGTTATTCTCGTTGTTGGTATGCCTGATGATGTTGGTGGAGATGGTAGAGATTGATCTCCAATTATATAAAATAATCGTGCACCTTGCCAATTATTCCATTCACTAAAAGGTAATGATTCGGATATATTAAGTATTACAGTAAGTTCTTGTTTATCTGTATAATATTCTAGTATAGGTTGATCAATTTTTCCACATAATGAGTTTGTTCTATCACCATCACTATATTTTATTGAATCAAAACATTCAATAGCTGATACTGGATTTATTGTTGATGTATCACGTAAAGATAATTCAATTATATAAAGATAAATAGAATAAATTTTACCATCATTATTATTTGGTTTTCGAATAGTTAATGAACATTGTCTTCTTCCATTTTGATAAGTATTTGGATAATCAGGTGTTTCAATAAAACCCATATTAGTTGATGTTAGTGAATTAAGACATAATTTAAGTGTTGAATATTGTGATGATGGTCTCATTGGTAAACATTGATAATAAAATTGTGTTGAATCAGCTTTACTATTTTGACATGCATTTGATGGTGATAAAAGTGATGTTGGATGAGTATACGAACAAGATTGTTGACCTGAACATTGTGCTTGTGGTTGTTCACCTGAATAAGAACATGTATATTGAGTTACATCACATTGATTAGGCTGTTTTGTAACAAAATGATATGATTGTAAAAAGACTAGACCATAATCAGATGTACAAGCAAAATTAACAGTTTCACGTCCATTTGTTAATCCACAAGCAACTTGACTTGTAATATTAAACGGTGGTGTTGGAGTTGAAGGTGGAGGTGTTGGACGACATATGTCATGTTGAACAGATTCTAAATAAATTTCAAAACCTTTAAATTTTGTTGTACCTATATTCATAATTAAATTATTATAACGAATTTCAATTGTATCTGAACATGTTTCAAGTAAATAACGTGTATGACTATTACCACATAAACGTATTACACCTGATTCAACACCAGCAATCTCAATCGATGGATCAAATGTACCACATTGTGCACCTTGATCACGTAATGTTGGTCGTGTTGGTAAATTTAATGAAAGAATATAAATTTTAAATGATTTATGAGTTCCACCACCTAATAATTGATTTGCTTGTAATTGTATTTTACATTGTCTAGATTCTGATGTATAATTTAATAATGAAATTATTGCACCACCATCAACTTTTTCAGTTGAACCTGTTGATGAACATATATTACGTATAAGTTTTGGACTTGTTGGAATACATTGATGTTCAGCATATAAATAATTTGATCTAGAACCATTACATGATTTCATTGCCATTGCAGGTGCAGATATAGAACATGATGCTTTACCACCACAAGTAGTATGTAAATGAGTACGATCTTCAAAACAATCATTGGGAGCAAAAGTACAACTACCTGTTTTACTTGCACCAAGTTGTACTTTATGTAAAACAAGAACATATCCAGGTTGATTACATCGTAATGATAAAAGACTTTGAACACATGTTGTTGCTATTTGAGTATATGTGCTCATTGGACCAAGACCAGATGGTGTTGTTGATAATGTTGTTGGTGCTGTTGTTGTTGTTGAAATAGTTGTAGGTAGAGTAAATTTTGATGCAAGTTGATAAAGTAATGCAAAACCACGTTGAAATTGTGGATTTGGATTTAATAAATTATATGAAGCAAAAATTTTATCTGTTGGTGAACATGTACTAAATAAAAGTTCGGTTGAACGTGTACCACATAAACTTCGAGTATATAATTGATTATTACATTGATAAGATAATGATAAATAATCATTTGTACAATCACCTGTATTTGGATCAGGTATACCAATATCAAGATCAAGTAAATACATAAATATAATAAGCTCAGAACCATCATATGTATTTAATGTTACATTAGGACATTGTGTTTGTATATAAGATGGATATGATGGACTTTTAAATATACCACTATTACCAGCAATATCTTCTATTTGACCTGTACATAAATCTACAGTATTTGGAACAATTGTTGGTGTTGGTAAACATTGATATTCAACAAAAAGATAATTAGCAAAAATATTATTACATTCTGGTAAAGGAACTTGATTTAAAAATGAAACTGAACATTTTTGCTTTCCTGAACATGTTCGATAAACATTGTCAGCTTCAGTTGTACAATCACCAACAATATAATCACAACGACTACCTTTACCATAAAATGCACGATGAATAACAATCACATAATTTAATGGACATTGAAAATTTGAACCTAATAAAGATGAAAAATCTGGATAACATAAAGTTTTAAACATACGAGGACTTAGACCAGGAAAATAAATCGGAAGTAAAGCACTTGTTGTGCCTGTTGGTGGTGTTACTGTTGATGGACGTGGTGTAGTAGTCGCTAATGTAGGACATATTGTTTGTGGTGATCTTTCTCGAAATTCAAAAAAAAGCTTAACACCAGTTCCTCGTGCATCTGGTGTTCGAATTAATTGTAATGATACAGATGAATGACATGTATTAAGTAAAAAATTTGTATATGATCTACCACACATTTCCATATTATTATTATCAGCTGAAACAATTAAACGATCTTTCCTACAACTTTGTCCAAGTAAATCTGGAGCACTTAAATCCATATTAACAACATAAATATGAATATCTTGATTTGGTTTTAATGTTTGTAAATTAAATGTACAATCAATATTATTTTGTGTATTTGGATAATTTGGTGAAATTATAAATCCACGACGAGTATTATTTTGTGGTAATAAATTATTATTACATATATCATATGTTGTTATACCCGATACATCATTTGGTACACATTTATAATCAATATGTAAATAAGCTGATGGTCGACTTTGACATGTTGCTAAAGTTTTACTATTATGATATGCTGTACATGATGATTTACCAGCACATACACTTTGAAATGTTGATGCATCATTTTGAAAACAATCATTTACATTATAAACACATGCATCTGCACCAATATTTCCATTAGGTTTAGCTGCATAATCAGCTGTTATTATATCAATAATATAACCAGATGGACATCGAAGTATTTGTGTTTGACCACGACATATATCATATAATGTTGAATCAGTAACACCTAAATCACAAAATCCCCATTGACGATCAGTATCAAAATTACTTGTTAATGAACACCAAGGTTCTTGAGCACCTTGACCTGATGATGAATTTGGTGGATCAATGTTTAAACAATTTGATTGTTGATTGCCTTGATATGTAAATGGGAATACACAATATCGACGTGTACCACCTGTTGTTCCACCATAAGCAGCAACTAGAAATAAATTTATTTACAAAAATTATAAAATAGAATTTGTTTTTTTTTATATAAATTACTTTGAGAACTAGGTGGTAATACACTTGTTGTAGTTGAAGGTCGAGTTGTTGTTCTTGGTGTTGTTGTTGTAAAACCATCTGGTACACAATTCCAACCAATAGGTACATCAATAGTTTGAGAATATATTTTAAAACCACGATAACCAAGTGCTTGATGAGTTGAAACAAATTTAAATTCAACTATATTTGAACAACTAATGAAAACTAATCCAGGTTGTCGTAAACCACAAAGTGCAATTTTATCTTTTCCATCATAAATAGTTAATGATGCTGCATCACATTCACTATTATCATTTTGTCCAACTTCCAAATATAGATCAACTATAAAAATCATCCATATTTTATTTGTTGGTGCTTCAACTTTTTTTGAACAAGTACGTATAGTAGCAGGTAATGTTGGATATTGTGGACTAATCATCATAACTGTATTAAGTGCAATTGTATCTGTTGTTGTTGATCCACATATATCAATTGGATTTTCATTATTTGGTAAACGTGTTGGTATACATTCATAATCTATATTGAGATAATCAGCATTTTGTGATCCACATTGAATAAGTGGTTTTGGAATATCATATTCAATAAAACATGATTGTGTACATGTTAAACCAAGTGATGCTTCTTGATGACAATGACCTGGCGATGGAATTTCACATAAACCTGTACCTGTTACAGCATAATTTGATTCAATGATAGAAAGAACATAATCAGAACCACGAGGACATCGTATAGTTGTTGCTGTTCCAAGACAAATATGTGCAGAAAGTATAGGTGAAAGTTCTAAATTTTTTGCCCAATCCGGTAGTTGTTCATTAATAGGTGTTGTTGATGATGGTAGTACATTACCACATGTTATATCCAGTGGTCTTGGAATCCATTCAAAATAAAATTTAAAGCCTTTATAAAAAAGATTTGGTGGTGATGTTGTTTTATATTGAATATCAATAGTTGCACCACAAATTGGAGCAATAGCTAATTTACGTTTGCCACAATAAACATAAGCTACATGTGGAGTATTTACTATTAAATAATCATTTATACAAGTATCACGAAGAGATGGATGCATTCGTTCTAAATCATTTAAATTATTTCTATTATCATTTTTATAAATAACTAGATCAGGTTCATTTGAATCTTCTAAATAATAACAATATTAATATTTAGAAAAGCAAAAAAAAAAAAAAGAAATAGTTTTTATACTAAAATTCATACCATCGGAAAGACGTTGTCCACCACTTGATAAAGCCATTTCATTAATCCAAATTTTTAATATTCTATCTTGTATACCTATAATTGTTCTTCTACATTCATTAGTTGTTTGCTTATAAGTTGGAAAACTTGGACTAGTAACAACTCCATGTATATTTCCAATGGGATTATTTGTATCACAAATATCATATGTTGTTATACTCGATACAGTTCCAACTGACTTACTTGGTACACATTGACTAGTTATATGTAAATAATCAGCATATTGATCTGCACAAAGTGCAAGCCGACGTTTAGTTGAATATAATATATAACAACTAGGTAAATCATTTTGACATTGTGTTATTGTTGATAATGATTCTTGAGTACAATCACCTTGAACAAATCCACATTTATTTGATGATTGTTTTTTAACACCATAAAAAGCACCTAATATAATAAATGTATAACCAGATGGACAACTATAAGTTAATGAACTACTGAAACAAATGTCATTTTCCATTTCATCTCGTGCAAACATATTTGTTTCATTTGCTAAAGGTGGTGCTGTTTGTGTTATAAATGGTGTTGTTCGAATAGTTGTTTGAGGTGATGTTACTACCGGTTTACCACAAGCCCAATCAAATGGAGGTACATGACTTTCAATATATAATTGAGCACCACTAGAAAATAATGTTGTTTCATCATTAACAATATAACGTAAATCAAGTTCATTTGAACAACTTGAATAAATTAAATCATATGAACGTTGTTCACAAAAATCTGAACCTTGACTTTCACCATCTTCAATCAATGTTACTTTATTTGATTTGCATTCAGTTGAAAAATCATTTAAACTAATATCAAGGGCATAAAAATTCATAATATAACCTATATTAGTTTTTATTCGATATGTACAATTCATTCTACTAAAAACTGGATAATTATATGTTTGAAAACGACCACGACGATTAATTTGTACTGGAATTTTTGAACCATCTAATGGACATGGAGTATTTGGTGAAACAATTTCAGTATTTGTTGGTATACATTGATACTCAACAAATTGATAAGCAGCAGTTTTATTACCACATGATGGAACAGCTTGATTTCCTGGATAGAAATACATACAAGTTCGACGACATGAATATGTTGGAGCTGTTGCAACAACACAATGTTTAACTGCATCATGTGGTTCACATTGATCAGATTGAGTAACACCAAATATATTTGTAGTAATAACTATACCATAATTATTTGGACATTCAATGTTAAGTGATTGTCCTAAAAAGGAAGAATTTAGAATTTCGTTTGTTTGTTTTTTTTGATATTCAATAAATAAAATGATTTACCTCTACAAAGTTGAAAACTTCGAACAGGTGATGCAATACCAAATATAACATAAGGAGGTGTAGGTGTAGTTTGACTTGAATCAATAGTTGTTATTGTTGGTGTTGTAGATGGTATAGGTGTTACTGTTCCATTTGGATTTGGACAATTATCATTCGCAGGTCGATCAACTATTTCAAAATACATTCTCATTCCACGATAGATTGAAAGTTGTGATGTAACATAATATTGAATAATAATTGTTGATGAACATAAATATGGATATGCATATCGTAAACGACCACAATGTTGATATGTTTGAACACTATCAACAACATAAACATGATCTTTAGCACAATTTGCCAATGTTGAACCAATACTTAGATCAGTTAACCACAGACGAATTGTTTTATCACTTGGTATATGTATTGCACGAAAACATTCAGCTGTTGTTGTTTGAAATTGTGTTGGATAACCAGGACTTCGTATTATTCCATAATCACTTGTTATTTCTGTACCATTTTGACAAACATTATATTCTTTTGTTGAATCATCCATTGATATTGGTACACAATCATATTCAATATGAACGTAACTACTAAATTGATCATTACATTGTGGTAGTTTTCTTTTGGTTGCATACATGGCACATTGAACAGTATCTGTTGTACATGTTACTATACTCATAGCATCAGCAATACAATCACCTGGTGTATAACTACATGAACCAGATACTTGTGCAACACCATATGAAGCACTTCTAACAATAACAACATAATTCGGTTGACAACGAAGACTAATTGTTGATGGTACACATGAATCCGTTGGAGTCATTGATATAACCTTTTGTCCATTAGTGAAAGAAATATATTGTAATATGTACAAAATAAGAAATATAAATCTAGACATCATTTTGCAAAAGTATATTTGCTATACTCTTACGTGTAAATTAGAGTAGTAGCATCAAACGATACCAGTAATGAAAAATGATAATAATAAAAACAAAATAACTATTGTCTTTAGTTTTTATTTGCTTTAACTTTAAAGATAAGAGCTAAAAAAAAAAGAAACAAACGAAGATACTATTATCTGTGAAAATCTCATTTGTGCTTCTTTTTACACCATCAGTTAAATAAGCTTCTTTTAGTTTTTTTTTATGCTCTTGTTATCTATACAATGTGAGTAACGTTAAAAAAAGAGATAAAACATCTTCTAGAAGTCTAAATAACATATGTAGCTTTTTTCTTTTTGTTATTTTCTAAGTAGATAGATTGCGACATAAACAAAAAAGCAAATAATTGATATAATTATATTTATTTGTAATGTTTTAACATGATCTATATATTGATTCACCATTCATCCGAACATCTGATTATACAATGCATAAATTACTTTTAAAAAAGTTCGATTTTCAAAAATAATTTTATAACTTTATTGTTCTTTGTTATATATTTTAATGATTTTGAATTCCTATAAATTCATATTCAAAATAGAGCTTACGAGGAAACTCCTCTAACTGATAAATTACTTTTAAGTCGAGTCTATGTACATTATGTAGATCCAAATGAGTTATGAATAACTTGAAAAGAGTTCGTGTTCATAGCTTATGACTGTATAGAAACTACATTTGTACGATGTTACTTTTTATGAATACCATAGTTTCCCATAGAAACACCAGAAAAATTGATTTTCGAATTTCGGTCTAAAATTTTATACAGAGGAAAGACCTTAATTTGAATTGTTTATTGTAAAAATTTCAAGGCTTTTGATTTGCTTGCTTCTATCCTAATCTTAAAATAGAAACAACGAAAAGATTTGAAACTTCTACAAGAAACTATTCTCATCAAGGTCTATCTCTATGTATAGTTTCAAGTCGAAATTCGAAAATCAGTTTTCCTAGTGTGTCTGAGAGGGTCACAGCATTCTTCTAAAAACTGCCGTCGCAGTAGTCTTGACTCGAAAGCAGTTTATTAGTTCGAGGACTTCTCTCGTCAGATGTTTCTTTTTCTTTTTTCGTCTCAGTACATCAATACTGAATACAAAATCTATGTCACTATTTATTATGGTGTGATGAAGAAAAAGTTTATATTTTCATCATATCTTTTTTCATATAAGATAACTACGTTGTTGATAAACACTTCTCCTTGTCTAAAAATAACAATATTTGCATACATAGGTTTTTTTTTTAAAATTATCAAATTAGATTTCTCAAATAGTTTTCTTTCATTATCGATCGTAATATTTGATGCAGATTTAACAAAAAAAAGCAGAGCAAATTTTTCAAAATTTTTTTGATTCTAGATTAATCATTTTCTATTGAGTAGTATTTTGATCTTATTTGTTTTTCTTCGTAGTTGAATATGTCTTTATTTTCTTTTTTTTTTTATTACGAACACAAAAGAAAAAAAAACCAGCACAGAAAAAAAAAAGGAAAACAAATAAACGTACATACATTAAAGAAAAGAAAAGAAAAAAAACGAAAAAATTTTTTCAGTTGGTTTTTCTTTTTTTGTTTAAAATTAGTCTCTTATTTTTTTTTTAAATGTATATTAGTATATAGCACGTAATATTCGACGTACATATACATATCGAAAGATGAAACGAAAAGAATAAACATAGATAACAAACTACTATGCAAATGTTTTTTCTTTTTTTTGTGGTTTTATTTTTAATTCATATATATATGAACAATGATGATAGTTTGTTTTTTTTTATATAATATAATCAAGTTCATATCGTGCATAATCATTACGTGGTTTTTCAATACGTTTTTGTAATGATTCATTTTCATCTATTGTTGGACGAATATTATCATCAACAATACGTGGATAACCAGTAACTAAAGTATCTTGTGCACCAATATATAATGTATTATAGACTTTCCAATAAACATCACGTACTCGTCGAGCTGGATGAAAGAGGCCCTTAAAAAAAATAAAAATAAAATATTAATTAATTATGAAAAAATAAATAAATAAATAAATTTTTACTTGTAATGTATAATAAAGTACTCGACCTGGTCCTAGACCAACACGTAAACCTTCAATAGCAGATATAAATGCTTGAATAACATGTGGACTTGTTTCAAATATATTTGGCCAAACATGATTTAATAAATGACATAATGCATCTTCACAACCAAAACCAAATACACCTAATGACATATGTCCAATAGCAGTCATTGCTGTTTGACGATGTACTAAATCTCTATCCATCATAGCATCTTCAAGTAATGGTGTTACTGCATATATATAATCTTTTGACATTTCACCTATATATTCAAACATAAATGCTAATGCTTTTAATACACCATTTTGAACATTTAATTCTGGTACACGATATTCATTCATTAGACCTATTCAAAGAAATAAAAACAAAATATAAATTGAAAAAAAAACAAAACAATTTTACCTGGTAAAACAGTAAATGGTGAACATGTTTCAGATACAATAGCTATAGCAACAGTTGTGCAAACACGTAATTGTCGTTCTTGTACTTTAAGATTATTTAATAATGTAGCTAAAACATCATGTGGACCAATAGCTTTAGCTATATAACCAAATGTATTAATAGCAGCGCGACGAATTGATTTTTTATGTGCTTTAAGTAATTCAAGTAATTCAAAACAAATACGCATCCATTCTCGAGCTGGTACATGTTCGGCACCTAATTCAGCTATACGACCAACAAGATCAATACAATTTTCTTGAACTTTTTCATGTCTATTTTAAAAGAGAAAAAGAAATTTTTTTATAAAGTTTTTTATTATGTAGAGTTTAGTTTTTTTTTTTCTTAAACTTTTACTTTATTTTCCTAGTCACTGAAAGAACTATTAAAAACTAAACGATCGGTAGAATTTCCAAAACGTCAAAAAAAATATTTTATAGTAAACTACACATGAACTATCGATTAATAAAACGAATGAACATTTCATTTCATTGCTCCGTTTTCTAAATATTCTCTACTATTAACAAGTAGAATTTTTTAAGACTTATTGTGAAATATAGATTAATGAAGAAGCCTACTAGTGATTAAAAATGTATTTACATCTTCTTTTGTTTTATTACTCGAATAATTAATCAAAATTATCCTATACTAGAAAAGTCGAACATCAGATTATATCATTAGTATATTCGAAAATAGTAAATCATAGTCGAAAGTTTTCATTCTATTACATGTCAAAAATAAAAATTTTACCTGTTTTTTAAAATAGGTGTTAATCTTGGTAATAAATCTTTAATAGGTGGTGTCATATTAGTCATACCAATAACATTAACAATTCCTAGAAAGAATAAAAAAAAAAAAGTATTTCATCTTAAATAAAAATCTTCATATTACCTTTTAATGCTCCAAGAATACTTCCTAAAACTTCAGGATATTCTTCACCAAGATATTCATATAAAACAAGTCCTAATTGTCCCATTAATTTTTCTTCTGAACATAATTTCATAACATTAGCTATTTTTTGTATAAGATCAGCTGCTTGTTGTCGTACTTTAGCTGCTTTATTATTTAAACGCCATAATATTGTACCACATATTTGTGGTAAATATGCTTTACAACGTTTACCTAATGAATTAACAACAGCACCAAAACCATTTAACATAACTGTATCTTCAGTTGTTTGTTCTTGAAATGCATAAAGTATACCATCAATTAATTGTTCTTCTAAACGTGAATCAATATCAGCTGAACCTAAATTTGTCATTATTTTTTCAATTGTTTCAATAACCATTTTACGATATTGTTCAGATTCATCTTTTAAATCATCAACAATACGATTAATTATTTCTGATGAACCAACTTTATTTGCCATTTCAACAGTTGTATCAACTAATTGTCGATAATTACGACGATCTAATGCCATACGTTGATTCCAAAAATATTTAAAAAATGATGGTAAAACTTCTTCTTTAATATATTTAGCTTCAACACCATCAGTTGCTGTACATTGTTTAACAACTTTAAGTACAATTTTTTTCATTTCTTCATCAGGTGATTGAAATTCACGTATTAATATAATCATTACTTCACGTGTATAATAACATGCATATTCAGCATCCATTAATGGTATTAAATAACCAATAGCTTTAAGAAATGCAGCAAGACCCTAAAAAATAAATTTCACAATAATGAAAAATATCTTCATCAAAATGAACACTTTTGTCTAGTCCTATGATTGTATTCATATTAGAAAAGTTTTATTAATTGTTTTCTTTTTTCTCATCAATTTGAATCATCTCTAGTTACAATAAGTATTAATTTATTCTTAACTATTTAATTAACTTACTTTTCCACGATGTTGTTTAATACCATTCCATAATGGTTTAAGTACAGTATCAAATGATTCAATACCATATGGTGCTGCTGCTTCAGCTAATGCTGCAATACCTAAAGCTGTAATTGTTCGTACTTTTTGTTGTTCATCAATAAGACCTAAAAATAGCAAAACAAAAACAAATTTAGTTTTTATTTATTTATTGTGTTCTTTTTCTTACCATGTTCAATAATTTCAACTAATGATTTTAAATGTGGTAAAATAGCACAACCAAGTAAAATAGCAATTTGTTGTATAATTTTAATTCCTGTATGTCTTGCTTGCCATGATTTTTTACTTTTACAAACAGCTTTTAAAAATGGTAACAATGCTGGTATACCAAGTGCTGATGCAACAACAGCAAATGCACGTGCTGTTGTATTACGTACATATTCATCTAAATTATCAATATCAGGTCTCATTGTTGATATCATTGTTGCTAAACCAGCTGCTTTAGCTAAATTTGATATTATTTCACGTCCTTCAACACGTGCATAATAATCTTCATCAATTAAAAGTGGTTCAATAACAACACAAATTTTATGTACATATGGACGTACAAGATCATCAAGTTTATATAAAATACGATCAATAACTTTAACAAGTAAATGACGTTCTTGATCTTCTAATGTTGGTGACATTAATAATGGTAAAATTTGATTAAATAATGGACCAGCACCAAATTCTCGTGCTTTATCAGTTATTTGTCTTAATGCTGCTTTACGCATAGGTGGTGTACCATTTTTAATTTTAAGTAATAATTTCATTATTTTTCGTTCTTTTTGTTCTTCAGGTGTTAATGATTCTTCATCAACTTCTTGTAATAGTTTATCAAAATATTGTAAATCATCTGGTTTTAATAATGGTAAATTTCCTGATGGTTGATATTCTTGTAATTGATTTGATTGTGCACTTTGTCCATGTGCAGATTCTTGTATATGAAAACCTGAAAATGTTGATTGTGGTGTTGGTGTTGCTGTTAATTTACGTGCTGGTGTACGTATTGGTATATATGATGCTGGTGGTGGTAAAATTTTATAACCAGGTGGAAACATCGCATCAAGTTCTTCATCTGATAATGGACGATTACGTTCATCTATTTCACGTTCCCAACGATATGCTTGCATTTGTTCAGGTGTCATTGGAATTTGACTTGGTGTTGGTGTTGCCATATTAGCTGCACGTGTTCCAACAGGTGTTGCTATAATTGGTGTCATACCTGGTGTAAAACTACCAGATGTACGTGGTGTTGATGCAACGCCAATTTCTTTTGCAACAGGTGTAAAACTACCTCCATTTGTTGTTGCATTTGCTGGTGTTTCATCCCAACGTGAACGACGTTTATCAGTTGAAGGTGTTGGTGTTGATCGTATAATATAATCAACATCATCCATACCACCACGATCAGTTTTTGGTGTTTCTGCCCAGCCAGAATTTGTTGTTTCTATGAAAAAAAAATCAATAAATATAATAAAAAAAAAATTTTTTTTGTTTTGTTTTTTTATATTTACCTCGTTCCGTACGTGGAGTCTAAAAACAAGAAAGATTTGATTAATTAAATAAGAATTTATATAGAAAAATAAACTTACTTCATCCCATCGATTACGTTTATTTGATGGCGTAGCTGAATGATGTGGTGTTTCAGCACCAGGTGTACGTGAAGCCACAGGTGTTTCATCAAATGATGATTGACCAGGTGCTGGTGTAGCATCCCACATTCGATGAGCTGGTGTTACTGCCTAGAATATTATATATTAAATTATATAAAAATAAAAAACAAAAACATTGAGTATTTTACTTCATCATAAGCTATTTTTTTTGCTTTTGGATCATTATCATCAGCAGGCGCTGTTTGATCCCATCGTCGTCGACGTTTTTCACCTGATGCACTTGCACCTCCATTAGCTGTTGTACTACTTTGACCTTCAGCTGCTTTAGCTCTTTCTGCCAATTGATTTCGTGTATCAGTCTAAAATAGAAAACTCGAATTTTTATTTTTTTTTATTTATTTTTGTAAATTTTACTTTTGCATTTCGTATAGCAATTTCACCCATAATTTCTGCATAACTACGTCCTTTAGCTTGTGGATCCGGTGTTTTTCCACCTAAACAAAATTAAATTAAAATAATCAATAGAAAGAAAAATAAGAAAAGACAAAGATTTACTAAATAATTTTAATAGGCAACAAAAAAAAAAAAGACCCACCATTATAATGATAAATACTACCTCGTTTTCTTTTTTCTTTTCTTTTTGGACATTGAATAATATAAATATCAAGAGAATATTTTATAGAATAAAAAAGAAAGGAAATATTTCTTAATAAAAATATATTTATATTTATATTTATATTCTTTTATGATAGCATATATATATATATATCTGTACCATGCTCGAGCTCATTTCAAGCAAGATGATTGTCAACGTTGCGATCGAAACAGCACGTTGATAATCGTTTAAAGTCTAAAATATAAGCTAAGATTCTAATTAATTAAATAGGCGTTTTACTATTCAATCACACCTAATAGTGCATTTATGTAGATGATGTATATCCATGGAGCCAAACGCCTATAAAAATGAACTCGATATCAGAATCACCTCAAATGATTTTACAAAAAACAAAAAAAAATTACTAATTTTAAATTTCTTACACTGAGAGCAAAATTTGTAGAAAAATAACTTTAAAAAAAAATATTTTTTTTCTTTGTATATTTACCTTCAGCAAAATAATCTAATCGTTCAGGTGAAATTCTTCCTGGTATCATACGTCGTTTTTTTTGATATTCATTTTCTCTATCAGCTATTGTTGGTCGACGATGTTCAGCTAATGGATCATAATTCTAAAGACAAATAAATAAATAAATAAATAAATAAAACAAATATTTAAGATAGATTTTCGCTAGTCGACCAAACATTAAACAGGAGTTATAAATGTTGAAACAACAAAGGTCATCGCCATTGTTCGGCTTATATCTCCATAATTTTTCATCCGTTTTATTTAAGCAATATCTCATTTGAAAGAGTATATAATGCCAACTTTCAAAATGATTACATAATCGGAACAGAACTTTAATATAGTGCATCTTGTAGAGAAAATTCTAGAAGAATGACAGATATATAAGGCGAACAATAGAAATGACCTTTTGTTTTTTCTGTCTTTCAGAGTTTCACATGTTTCAATACTTATAATTCCATTAAATCAAATTACAGGAGTCAACTTTCCCAATAAGGATCATGTAGTTTCTCTTTTCATTTTCTGCTTACTCGATCAATATTTGGAATATTTTGTAAAATATCAGCTGTTGGTCCATATGCTTTTGGTTTTACATTTGGTAATGATGATGCATAATCGTCATCTTCATCCTAAAGAAATAGATATTTAATTATTAGAAAAAAACAAATCATAGAACAAAAAAAAAACCACAACATACATCATCATCATTATTTCCTGGTACATAATTAAAATAACCAGTTCGTGCATTTTCTTCATAAACATCTGTATCAAGGATTTGATCACCAAATCTTGTACCACGAGCTTCATCGTCTTCTCGTCGACGTTCATCACGCATAGCTTTCGATTGAGCTTCGATTGCTACAATAAAAAAAAATTAAATAAATCTTTCTAAACAAAAAACCAAAATTTCTTACCATCATGTTTTGAACTCATGGTGTATTTTATTGAATACTAACCAAGAGTAAGAACAGTCTTCTGTTGAAATGTTTATTGCGTAAATATGTTGACTAAAAGAGAATACCAATAATTGTTTATTTATTTATTTATTTATTTTTTCCTATAATATGATTATTTCATTGAATACTTTTGTTTGTCTGAAAAAAAGAAGAATTTAAGAATTTAATTATAAAATTTTAACAAAAAAAAAGTATTTATTTAGTATCATAGTTATGCATTTGATTATCTTCATTTCATTGGTTATTTCATTCAAGCAATAGAATTATGCTGAACGAAAATAGATGAACTGAATGTTTAAATAAAGAAAGAAAAAAAAAGACAATTTTATAGTTTTGATTTGTTGTTATCAAATCAATAAAGAAACAAAAAAAAAAAAAAAATAATATTTTGTTCTACACAAAAATTTATCTTTTATTATATTTAGATTATTAAAAATAAAGAAAAACAAAGTTTTTCTTTTTTTTTTTTCTTCGTTGTGTTTTGTTTTTCTTTATTTTGATTTTTACATCTAATCTTCATGTTCTCACCATTTGTTGACGGTATGCATCCACATCAACATTTTCCACTTATGCAATTACCTGATCGACAACAAATGCAAATACCAACTGGGTAAGGATAACATTGATTTGAAAACCTTTTGTTTTTGCTTTTTATCTATCTTACTACTTGACATTCCTTTTTTTTTTGTTCGTCAAGACATAACTTCTTATGTCAAACACTTAAAAAAATACGATTCTCACGTGTTCGGATATACGTACAATATAAATGAAATAGGTCTTTTAGTTGATCATGAATAACGAATGTTCGTTCATACAATAAATGATTTTGACAAGCATTTGTCAAGTAGCTGTCACTATTAATTGGATTCATATTAAAAAAAAAAAGAATTTTATATATTTAAGATCGATATTAATACATATATATATATGTATATATATATATGTGCGTTTTCTTCCATTGTTTACATTTCATATAACCTTTCGATTCATTAACAACATTCTCTCCATGACATTTTTTCTTCTCAATAGAGCGTTGAAAATATTAAAAAAAAATATAGTAGTTTAAATGGAATTACTTCTGACAATCGGCTGTCGTTGCTCATCACTTTTATAATCATTGTTTGTCGTTATTTGAGGTTATTTCTCGCGTTTGCTGTTCTTTTTTTCCTCTTCTCTTTGTTCTGCTTAATTTTCAGAAGAGAATATTAAAAGAAAATTATTTTAATGCCTGACCCGAAATCAATAGGCGATAAATCATCAGGGTCGTTCATCTATTTGCTCTTCTCTCTCTCTCTCTCGTACTCTTTCTTCTCGTCATTCTCGCTCTACTTGACCCTTGGCGAACATGTCCGACAAAATTTCAAACCTATCTATACGTATATGCGCTCCGATTAATTGAGTTTTTCTTTCTCTGTTCTGTTGTCGGACGAAGAGAAAAAGCAAAAAAAAAAGAAAGAAGAAAAAAAAACGAGAGAGGGCATATATTCTTGATTTGCTAACAACAGAACAATCTCTTTTCTTTTTTCTCTCTTGTGCTATCGATTTTTTTTTCTCTTAACGAACGAAACAAGAAATAATTATATAGATTGATGTAGCCGCCGCGGCTAACGCACAAACATAGAAAGAGAAGTAGAGAAGAAGCGATTAGAAAAGCGAGAGAGAGAGAGAGAGAGAGAGAGAGAAAAAAAACGAAGGGGACCTTTCGTCGTCGCATTCCACATACATATTACCATGCCGTCATTCAAGTTGCCGGTTTTTTTTTCCCTTCGTTTTTTTTTTGTGTTTCTATCAAAGCGAACAGTATGATGAGTTGTTTTTTTTTTCAAATACGTACATTTGGGTCTGCGCGTGTTCTCCGGTGCTTTTTTTTCTCCCCCTTGTCGTTGCTATAATACACATGTATAACGCGTGCCCCCCATCATCATCATCATTGCCACATGCACATATGTATCAGGAGACGCAGAAGAAGAAGAAGAAAAAGAGAATGTAATGGATGGTGTCGTTTGCTTAAGTTTTTTCCATTTATACACGGATATTGAGTGATAATGATGATGATGGTCGATTTGATAATAAAGATAATATTAAATAAAAACGATCCTTCGATTACAGATCGAATAATTATCAATGTAATACATTATAATTATAATTTAAAAAATGACTTCTGCACTATATTATCAATCGATGATAGTGCCACAACAACAACAGCAACAGCAACAACAACAACCAATGCAAATGTAGTGAGTAAAATGAAAAGATCAAAAGAACTTTTTGTTTTAAATAGTTTTTCTTTCTTCAAATTATTAAAATTCCGCATATAGATTTTGTTTTTCTTTTTTTGTATATATATATATATTAATTTCTTTTTAGTTATCATCCACAACAACAACAACAACAGGCATCATTACCACATATGATGTCACAAGCACAACAAGTTCATCATTTAATTCCACAATCACAAGCAGCATCAACACAAAATCGTGATCATCATCAGCATTCTCATCCACCTAAAGAAATGAATAAACCAAAAGGTCGAATGAGTGCATATACATTTTTTGTACAAAAATGTCGAGATGAACATAGAAAAGCGTATCCAAATGAGAATGCTAATTTTAGTGAATTCTCAAAAAAATGTGCCGAAAAATGGAAGGTAAGATTAATCAAAAAATAAGAAACACAAACAAAAAAAAAAAAAATTAATCAATTTTATAGATGAAAGACTTTAGCTTAAAAATGATAAGAGATCTAAAACTATCGATTCACAAATAGACATTTAGATGAAATGTGTCAGACTAAAATCATAATAGAATTAATCAAAAAATCATCAATTTCTGTTCATATAATTAAATGATTATTTCGTACATTTTTCATTTTCTCGATCAATTCTATTATACTTCATCTTCGTTTTTTTTTTTTTTTGTTGCATACTTTCTCTGATCAAGGACAAACAATAAAAAAAATTATATAGGATTAAGTGAATGATTGTGCGAAGAACAGCTGCATTAGAGAACAAAAGGAGGGGAAAAAAAACAACGTTATTATTACTATTATTATTTTTTTCTTTTTTTTTTTGTTCTTTATTTAATAGACAATGACTGATACTGAAAAATCTAAATTTGCTGCACAAGCTGAAATAGATAAACAAAGATTTGAACGTGAAATGGCTGCTTATCAACCCGGTGAAAAACGAAAAAAGAAAAAAAAAGATCCATTGGCACCAAAACGGCCATTGTAAAATTTTTGTTGTTTTGAAAACATCAAAAAAAAAAAAAAAAAAACTTTCCTATTGATTTTTCTTTAGATCGGCATTTTTTCATTATTGTAAAGAAGAACGTCCTAAATTAAAAGCAGTAAATCCAAGTTTATCTGTTGGTGAAATAGCTAAAGAATTAGGTGATCGATGGAATCATACAGCACCTGATGGAAAACAAAGTTATGAAGAAGCCGCACAACGAGATAAGGAAAGATATGAAAAAGTCAGTTATGATTGGTTGATTTTGTTTTAATATTATTTATTTTTTTTTTTTTTTATTATTATTATTAGGAAATGAATGATTTTAGAGTAGCTAATAAAAAAGCTGCTAAATCAAATTCATCATCTCAGGCATTAACACAACAACAACAACAACCAACACATCACTCCGATCAACAAGTCAGAATACATCAAGATGTAAATTAAGTTTTTTAAAATCGAAATTTTTTTCATTTTCTTTTATCAAGTCACAACAGCAACAGCAGCAACAACAACAACAACAACAACAGTACTCTCCTGTACCATACCAATTACCGCCGTTCAATCCAATGCAATCTTTTCAACCACAAGTAATTAATAGAATTGATTGATTGATTAATTTTATTTACAATTTTCTCTCCAGGCTTTTGCTCAAATGAACAATTTCCAAGATAATGGTTTAGCTGCCTCGCTTTTTCCTCATTATAATGGTTATTCGTTACAAATGCCACATAACAATGTAGGATATGAGTGAGCATTAGCAGTAGTATGCACACACACACACACACATATATATATATATGTATACTCATATCCACTCTTCTTTCTTTTCAATATAAATTATACAAAAAACAATTCAGTCACCAATTTTTATTTATTGCCATTCATATGTATATATATATAAAGATATATATATGTATATGACAAATGAATCTCTCTATTCCTATTTTCTTTTGTTTGTTTGTGTCCGTTTTTTTCTTGTTTGTCTTACAAATCTGATAAATAGAGTGTGCATGTATATATATAAAGATAAACTATGATTGATAAATAATTGGTACATCGACATCAAAGAGCAGCATTTTTTTTTCTTCCGGTTTTTGTTTTCTTCTGCTTTTGTTTTTTAATTTCAAAAAAAACAAAAAGATCTGTTGTCAATTATTTTTTTGTTTGTTCCATTTTGTTTTGTGTAAACATAACAAATCAAAAAAAAAAAAATAGATAGAAAAAAAAAATTGATAACCATAATATAACTTTTTATACTCATTAAATATATGAATATAATTATACTTATTGGTAAGTATTTAATTTTCTTCATATACTGCTGTGCTTCTTTCGTCTTTTATCATTGTATCGAATATATATATATATATATATACATATACGTGTGTGCTTACTTCTTCTTATACTTGCAGCTTTGAACTTTTTTTTTTTTTTGTTTCTTTATATTTAATTGATAAGAATAAAAATATTTTTCTATATAGGTTCAAATGCAACAATTTCAAGCATTACAACAACAACAATTACAACAACATCTTCAGCATCAAGTAAACATAAAATAAACAACTTATTCTTTTATTTTTTTTTTAATATTTTGTTTATTAGACTTACCAAACCTTAACAACAGCCAATGCAAATTCAACAAATAATAATAATAATAATAATAATACTAATAATAATAATGGTGAACAACAACATGATGATGATGATGGTGATGATGATGATGATGATAATGAATCTGAAGTTGAAGAATAGATAAAAATTTAAATTTTGTTTTTCTGGAAAAATCCATCGAGTAATAATAAACATTAAAGGAAAAAAAAAAAAGTATTGCGCTATTTGTTTTTGTTTTTGATTCTTATACTTGTCTTGATTCGTGGTTTTTTTTTCCTTATTCTTCTTCTTCTTTGATGATGTAGATATAGAAGTACATCATCAATTTGATTGTCTTTTTTTCTTTCGTTTTTTTTTTTTTTGTTTTGTTTTTCTTTTTGTATTTGTTCGTACTGTGACTGTTTGATGTACATGAAAAAAAAAAAAAAAAAAGAAAACGAAAAACCATTCACATACTTAGCCTGTATGTATTGTCCTATTTCTTGTTGTCATTTTTTTTTTGCATCATGACAAACAACATTGTCTTTTTTTTGTTCTTACTTTTGTCTGCTGTTTTTTTACAGGATAATGTCAGACATACTCTTGTTCTCTTTCTCTCTCTCTCTCTCTCTCTTTTTTTTTGATTATCTTATGAGTAAAAATTAAAAAGAATGGTGTACTAACATCAGTTGAAACTACTATCATACATTGATTGTCATATCTTTAGATTTGAACCCCAAAAAAAAAAAAAAATGGTTGCTCCAGCTGATTTAACTGCTTTAAATAAAATAGTAACACATCCACGTATTATTATTCAACATGATTGGTCTACTAATCTAAAAATGAAAACATTACCTGTTGATGTTTGGCTTGAATTTAAATCTGGCAGTGCTAGTCTATCACGTATAGCACAAAATATTCATGGTGTGTGTTCAATAAAAGCTTTAGCAGATGAAGCAGCTAAAATTTACAAAACATCAACAAGTGATAATTTTCAACTGAATGATATTGATAGAAATCAACAACAATTACGTATTAAAATTCGAGATACGGATTTTAGTCATACATTTCAAGGTAAATAAATATTGGTTTTTTTATTCTTTATTTTTAAATTTTAAATAATATAATTTTTTTTTTTTAGGACCAATAAAATCATTTTCTACAACGAGTAGACATGATGATGATGAAAATAATCATGAATCAGATCCATTAATTAATGTACCTGAACTTCCTAAAAATCAAACACAGCAACCACATTTATCAGTTTATCCTCATTGGTTTGATATTAGTTCTGGTGGTGTTGGTTTAACAGCATTAAATAATGGAAAAATTACTATTTGGGATATTGAAAATGGTAAATATTCATAATTAAATTTATTTAAAAAATATATTAAATTATATTTTTTATAGGTGAAATACGACGTAAATTAAAAGGTCATGTTGAAGATGTTTATGTAAGTCGATTTTTTCCATCAGGTAATATTATTTTATATATATATTTGAACTTAATCAACTTTTTTTATTTAGATTTTGCTGTCGTCTCTGGTGGAGCTGATATGCGTGTTAAAGTTTGGTCACTTGATAATGATAATAAAGAAATACAAAATGTAACATTTAGTGGACATCATTCACGTATTAATGATGTTCATGCAGTTAATCAACAACATGTATTAAGTGCATCAAATGATGGTACTGTTATATTATGGGATATTAAAAAAAATGAACAATTAAATAAAATAGTTGAATTACAACAAAATAGTATTAATTGTGTCAGTTTAATTGATTCATCATTATTAGCTTGTGCTTGTAGTGATGGTTCAATTCGTTTTTATAATTCAAATAAAATTAATTCTAAAGAAACAATAAGTACAATTACAATTGGTTCACCAATTAGTACACTTTGTTATTTGTCAGAATTAAATCAACTTATTTATGGTACTGAACAATCAATAATTGGTATTTATGATATACGACAATTAAATGATATACCTATTCATACATGGAAAGAACAACGAGGAAAAATAACATGTATTGTTCCTAGTCGTGATCAACAAGGTATATTAATAACAACAACTGATGGTAGTTGTTTTGAATATAATAAAGATGAATTAAAATCAATGTCGGATGTAGAACAATTTCATGTTCGTGATTTTACAGGTGCAGATGAATCTATTCTGAATGGAAAAGTATTTAACAATAAAGTTTATTCAATTTGTCGTGATGGTCTTGTACGTGTCTATGAGAATATAGAATAAATAGATTTTCATGTTTTTTTTTTTCATGTTTTATTCTGTAAAACAGATTTGTCGGATGAGATTATTAGATGAGTTTTATTTGTTGTTGTTTTTTGTGTGTGTGTCTTTCCTTGATTGTTCTCTATAGTTGTGAGAAATGTATTCAAGCACAATTTTTTTTTTACGTCTTTTATTTATATGATATTAGTCAAGCAAAATATAATTCCAGCATAAATTCTTACATGAAAATTTAATAAAATTTAATATAAAATTGATTTCAAATAGATTTTGATTAAAATTTGAATTTACCAATACAAAAACAACCTATTAACTTTTAGAGAGAAATGAAATCATATTTTGTCAAATTAAAGTTTGATTGAATATAGATTATATGTCTTTGTCCGAAAAACTTCCGCTGACGATTTCCGTTTGACGGAATCAGAACCGGAACTAGACCGTTTCCTTACAAGTTTAACATAGAAGGTTTAGAAGAAAAAAAAAAAACTTCTATGTTCATCATCCATATATCATTTCATATTCTTTGATATATTTTTGTTTTTATACATATATATATAAATAATTTATACATAAATAAATATATATTGTTTTTATTTTTAAAGTTCAATTATTTATATAACAACAAGACAAAAGAGAAAAAAAAAACCAGAAAATAAGTTAAGCAGAAAAAAAAAATACATGTCAATTCATATTATATATTATATATTATCATATAAAGAAAAGAAAATAAATAATTTATATAGGTTTTCCGCTACTTTTAACTAATAGATGTTGTTGTTGTTTATAATGTTGACGATATTTATCAGTTGCATTAGGCATTGATATAGAACGACAAATTTGTACGGCAGCAATTGATGGTGCTTCTAAACAATTGGTTATTGATGCAACTGGTTCAAAATCTGTATCAATTGATGAAACTTTATCATGTTGATTACAGATTGAACGTATTTGTTTTAATGTATGACGACGTGTATTTGACATAACTTGTGAAACAGCAGTTGTAGCAAATGATGATGAACGTTGAATAACATATCGAAATAAAGATGATCGTTGTGCTGCTACAGTTGGACCTTTAGAACAAAATGAATTACTATTTGTATTATTCGATGTTGTTGAAGTAGATTTTAACCATGAATGAGTGACTGGTGGTGGAGGCCGATATTCTCGAGCAGGACGTGTCAAATTTGTTGTCGCTATTTTTTCACCAGTATCATAAGATGATTGAGCGAATAGACCGGCAACACCACTACGAGTTAATGTTACTCGACGAGTGTTTGTAACATCAATATCTTCTGTAGATGTGGATAATGTAGATAGTTTATCATTCGACATATTTGATTTAATTCAAATAAAGATTAATATTATTTGCCAAACATTCAGTCAGTTTCATTCAATATGCATACGTCTGTTATGTTGTAATTCTTTCTTTCAATGTATCTATAAATATCTATATAATCATACATATAAGTATTTTCTGACTGATCATTATATCACTAGTCTATCTATTTATATTTCTCCATTCTTCTTTTATTTACTTTTCTTTGCACGTCTTGTTTTGAAAAAAATACTTCTATTTAAACTAGAAAATATATAAAACATGTCTTTTCTTTGTTCAAAACAATAATTTATCAAGAATAGATAGATTTAATCAAATTCATTGTTTCTATTGTCGATAAAATAATATGAATAATAAAAACTTATTGAAAATTTTGAATGCTTATCTTTTTTTATGTAATAGAATAAAAATAGTGAATTCGAAAAAAAAAAACAACAAAACAGATTATTCTTTTCTTTTCCTTTATGTTATATTAATCAGTTATTTTATAATATATTTTCAAAGGTCAAAGAAGAAAACCTTAAAGTTTTCTATACTAGACGATACAAATCTTATATTATTAGCAGCGAGAGTATTCGAGTTGGTAAGTAAAGTGAAACCTGATTTGACTTTCTTTTTTTTTTTTTTTTGTTATTGTAATGCTTCTTCTAGGTTTAATCATAATAGAAATTGAAATCTTCTATGATTTGTATTATGAAGGTTACTTTTATATTTTTCTTTTTCTGTCATGACAGATAATCATTGGGTATGGTCATTATATTTTAAAATGAAATATGAAGCGTTTCATTTTACAATAATACTTTCTTATTAAGAATATCATGAAAATACTGTACTCATACTTCTCTTTGTATACTCTTATAACTAGTCGAGTTTTTTTTTTTTAGAGAAATTAATCAATGAATTTATATAATCAAATTTATTATTCTATTAATTGTAATAAAATAAAAAAGAAAATATAAATATTTAATTATCTTGTTCAGTAAATAAAAATTAAAGTTCATTTTAATTAAAATGATAAAAGAACTTAGTTTATTTAGATTAAGATTATTATCTATATATTATTCATTCATTTATTAAATCTATTGTTGACTCAAAGAGAAAAAAAAAAAGAAACACATTTTCAAAAAATCTGTTTGTAAATGTCAAGATGTTGCTATTCAATATGATCAAAGAATAAAGCAATGAACTTTTGTATTATTTACTTTTTCTTATACTTTCAATGGATGAAACAAAAAAAAAAGAAGAGAAATAGTCACTGTATATTGTCCTTTGTCAAAAGGTCGATGATGCTGAAACCTACAAGAAAACAAACATATTGGTTATCAGCAATATTTCTTATTCCTTTGATAAACAAAAAAAAAGAAATACATAAGTGATCGAATTTAAGTATTATATTCTTAATATAACAAACGAACAGGAAAAAAAATTTGCCTATCAATGTCAAAAGAAAGTCGAGTATTAACTAAATACACAAACACAATATTTAATACATAGATTAAATTATCATTTAAGTAGAACATCTAAAAATGACCTAGTTGTTGTTGCAATTATCGAATACTATGACTGTAAAATAATTATGATACATTCTGATATAATTGATTTGTTTTAAGCACTGTTTAATATCATATTTGTCGTTTTGTTCTTATATGAAAATATCCAGTTGAAATATTCTCTAGTCAACCATATTCAATAAAAAAATTAATCAACCAAATTGAATTTTTTTCACCATTATATTGAGTACTACAATTAAGATAATGGCTTTCTCTAATATAAGAAAAAAGAAAATAATTGGAAAACAATTTCCTAGGAATTAATTGTTTGTATGTACGTCATCATTATTACTATTGCAATCTTTTGGTTAACTTAAGTCATACATAGATCATTTGTATATCTCATTATTTAATTGGAAAATACAAACAATAATTTTACTAGAATAATAATACAAATATACATGTTTTCAAACATAATCAACTTTAATTTAAATAATATATCTTTTTCTTTTGAATCAATTGTGATATTATCTTCTGGATATAAAATCGAACTAGTAAAATATACTGATTTTGTCAGTTTGTTTGTTTACGATAATATTATCGAGAAAACTTTCCTATATTGATTATCGATTAATATTCGAACGTGTCATATATGTACTAATGCTTTTTCTGCTATCGGATATAACGATTTTAAGTAATTCAATTACATCTATTTGTTTTTCATTTTAATAATAATAATAATAAATATAGATAATTAAAAAACGGCTTCTAACGCCACCATATAAACGATATGAATATTATTGGTCTATGACAGTTTGTCGTCTTGCTCCTGTCATTTTTTTCTCTCTTTTTTTTCGTATAATAAATGTCTCGTATTCTTTCGTTCGTTAGCATATTATTATTTTTTTTTTATGTTGAATATAGTTAAGTTTTTAATATAAAATTTTCTTTTTTTTCAAAATCTTAACTATTACAAGAAATAATATTGTTATATGATTTAATGACGTATATAAAGATTCTTATTCTTCCATATCATTTATTTTCTGATACATGAGAAAATCTGTTGCATATTTATTTATATTAGTATGCTTGTTATTTGATGTTTCCTTTCATCGATTTATTGTTTGATGAGGAAGAAAACAGGAAGACTAGTCGGTCATAAGATTACGTTAGAAGGGATTGATGAACGTAATCGCATGTCCGATAAATAAACGATGGTTTGATGACCTCTTCTCTTCTTCATTCTCTTCTTTATTCTTTACTAGCTATTTCCTCATTCTAATGCTTAACATAACTCGACAGGCATATATATATATATATATAGTTACTAAAAGATCGTGACGATTGAGCAACTCTGAGTGCAAAGATTCTTTTCTGACACTTTATATCTGTGACCGGCAAAGGAGAAAGAGCACGAGAGAGAGAGAGAGAGAGAGAAAAAATTCCTTTTTTAGTGGAGATCCGAATTATCATTATACTCGTTTGGTTGAACAGATAAATTGATGATGGAAAGCAGACATTTGTTGTACTATTCTTCTAACTGAAGCTTATCCTAATTTGACACTTATTTGCTTCTATTGATAATAGGATATAAGTCATTTTTCAAAAGAAAATTTTTGACATATATATACTTTTGATAAATATTGATTACATTAATAACCTTCTTGTCATGTTTTCCATACCTATTAATATATCAATGAAGTATCATCGTTTTTTTTTTTTTTTTTTTATATTTTCTTTGTTCATATATACAAGGTTTTACATCATCTAATAAATGAATATATTTCTTTTGTGTTTTGTTTTTTTTTTTAAATAGATTTTTATTAAATAAAAACCTAGGTTTATAGTTGTCATCAATACATTATGCGACAATATCATCAATGAAGAATCATATGACAACTAGTATTCATATATACATTTTCAATTGTAATATTACATTTCTGGTCAAGGTGCTATTTACATATAAATATATATCTATCTTTGCTTTGTGACACGAAAAAAGACATGGGAGAAAGGTAAAATAATTGATTAGTAGTATTGTTCTTATATAGAAAAAAAAAACGAAAAAAAAAAAAAAAAAAAGAAATATCAATATGTATGTCACTTTATTACTCCGTTTTTTTTTTGCTTTCTTTTTTTCTTTCATTAGACTTGAGTGGGTTCAAATCATCGAGCCGAAATCCAAGGATACTATGTATGCCAATCTTGTTACTGGTGAATGCGTTTGGGAAGCACCACCTAGTGCAAAAATGTAAGTTTCAATTTACGAAACAAAAGAAATTTTTTTTAATCATATGATATTTCATTAAACACAAAGAAAAAACCAATTAAGATTATTCTTTTTTTGACAATCGAACAGATGATGAGAAACCTTTTGTATTTCACTTTTGATTTCATTTATGAATATAAAAAAAGAAAAAAAAAGTGAATAAACAGAAAGGTCAAGTCAATGTAGAACAAGAGAGAGAGAGAGAGAGAAAATAAAAAGGACGAATTTAACCACACGTACGAATGAACATATACAATAGACATAAAGACATGTCATTAGAGACTACTAGTGCGACAATAATATTTTTTTTACTACTTGTACGGATGTTTTGCTTTCGTGTCAAGATAACTAGACACAAGAAAAAAAGAAATAAATCCTATTGTTTATCTGTCTATTTCAACTAATTGTTTATTAAAATCAAAATAGATAAAGAAAAAGAGATATCAATTAACATACAGATGGATTTATATTATAGTGTGTTTTATTCGACAGACAACATCAATTAATTTTCTAATGTAATCAATTTTTTGACAGTATATATTTTTATTTGCAATCTTCATGTACTAAGAGTATATATATAACCTTGGTTTGCCTTTTTTTTTTTGTTTCCAAAAAAGAAACAAAGTAAATGCATATCTGGACAATAGAGAATGACACAATATGAATAAATAAGAAATCTAAAGAACATATTAGACATAATTTTATTTCTAATTTCTTCTTCTTTTTTGTTCCCTTCTTCTAAATTTATTCTAGTAAATTAACAGATGATAATCAATGGTGGGAATTATTTGATGCAAGTACCAGACGTAATTATTATTATAATGCAAAAACTCAAAGAACTATTTGGCAACGACCATCAGGTGCTGATATAATTCCTTTAGCTAAACTACAGGTATACAAATAGAATTACATAATTGATTTGTCTTATATATTAATATAATATGATTAAACAAACATGTGCAGGATATTAATCATCATTGACTTTCATCATAAAAGATATTATTCTATCTACAATATAGATGATGATGATGTAAATCTTTCCTTTTTTTTTTTTGTTTCTCTCTTATTCTGATATGATCATGGTCAACATTATCAATGTATTCATTTCCTTTTTTCTTTTTTTTTTTGTTTCTTATGTATATACAGATGATCAAAGATAATACAGAACCGAAAGATGAACAAACAACAATTATTCCATCAACATCTTCAATTAATCATACGGTTCAACAATTAACTACAATAAATAATACACAATCTATAATTAATAATAAATGGAAACAAATATCTTTACAAGGTCTTGATGTAACACCATCACAGGAAACTAAATTAAAAATTGTTACTCCATCATTTCAATCAACAACAACACAACGAGTAAAGATTTTTTTTAAATTTTTTTTTTTTTTTTTATATCCTTTAAATATTTTATTTAAGTCTATTCATCGTACAACAACTGTTCTTCATCCACAACCAATACTTTCTTCATTAACAACTAATGATTTAACATTTTCAATGAATTTAAATAATGAAAATAATGATAAACCAACATATGATAATTTAACTGGTCTAATTTATAATTCATTTAATAAAAAATCTAATCAATATTTTAACAATAATTCATATGATAATTATTCAAATATTTCTAATCAACATCAAAATTCTTTAGGTAATATTTTTTTTCTCTTTATTCTATTAATATAACATAAATATTTATTTTTGATTTTTTGTTTTTAAAAGAACAATCATTAAATACAAAACGTTCTCAAAGTATTCATTTAAAATCTCCATTTACATTTCAAATGATAACAAATGAAAATAATTATTATCATAAAAATACATCAATAGATGAATGTTCAAATATACATCAACAATTACCAAATATATTTCGTCATATAAGTACTCCATCATTAGAATTATATCATAATAATCAAATAAATTCAATGAATTTATTTCAATCATCAATTAAACGTCATAATATAAGAAAAAAACAACCACGTACTAATCCAAATTATGTTAATATACAAGTTAAAACAAATAATGGTTCATTACGTAGTACATATATTCGTATAAATGATATACAAAATTATCAAACAACATCAACAATCTCATCATCATCATCATCATCATCGAATAGTTCATCGGAACAAGATTCAATGTTATATAATTCTCAATCATATTTCAATGAATCAAATAGATATTTTCCAAGTGATGAAACAATTAGTACTGATAAAATAAATGAAGAACAAAGAATTGAAATGATTATGAATCAAAATTCTTCATCATCATCACCATCAATGAATAATAATTATATATTAACTAATAAAACAGGTCTTATGATGAAACAATTTATAACATGTACTGATGGTAAAAAAAAAACTTATAACTTATTATGATAATTTCAATAGATAGATAGATAGTAAAGAAAAATCAATAAATAAATATTTTTTCTTTTAGAATTTGTTTTTCATTCGATAATAGATCCTATTAGTGACAATTTTCAACAAATTAAAATGATTAATAATGGTAAATTTCTGAATGATGTCATGCGTTCCTAAATCTATCCTATTACTTTAACTTATAATTGAGTGAGATTATCCGGACGAATAATTCACTTTTCTTTAATTGAGTTTGAAACGGAAGAGATGATTTTTTTTCCAAGGATTAGATTTTCAATCACATGAAAATATAATAATAATAATTTATTTCTGTTTGTTTCTTTCTAGCTAATAGTGGAACTACTAATAATATGATCATTGAAAATGGTACTAATTCAAGTAGATCAACACTTTCATCACCTATTTTACCTGCTTATTATGATAGTTATTCAAATTCACCTTCAATAGCATCTCATTGTAAATAATATTTAGAATATTAATTAACTAAATAGTATTTATTTTATTGTTTTTGCATAATAGCAATAAATCAATCTCATGATACAGGTAGTATTGATTCATCATCAAGTTCAACACAATCTGAATCAATTCATTTGAATGGTTTATGTAATAATAAAAAAAATATTCAAGTATCTGTTGACAAACATGTAATTCTTATAAAAAAAAAACAATCTTATTTTATTAATTTCTTTTTTTTTGTTTTTGTATAGCGAATTTCATTATTAACATCAACAAAATCTTCAACAACAACAATGAATGAAATTGAATCTCCTATATTATTTAATGATATGTTAAGTTTAAATATACATAAACGAGGTTTATTTAGTAAACGTTTAACACACGATAATTTATTATCATGGTCAAAAGAAAGTATAAAAAAACCATTATTACGTACATTAGATAAAATTCTACGAAAAGAAGGACCAAATATATTTAAACTTATACAAATATATATGGGAGATAGAAAATCAAAAAAAATTGCATCATTAAATACATGTTTAGAATTAACAATTAAAGGTTGGAGTTTACCATCAATACGTGATGAACTTTATTTACAATTAATTAAACAAACAACTTCTAATTATAATCCTGAAAGTTTACAACGTGGTTGGGAATTAATGGGTAAAAAAAAAATTTTTTTTTTTTTTTTGTCAGTTGAATTGATTTGTATTTCTTTAGCAATTTGTCTTTCATTTTTTCCACCATCAAGTAAATTTCAAATGATACTTGAAAATTATATATTAATACAAACAAATAGAAATGTTGATACATTTGAAGTACCTATATCAATTTATGCTAAAGTTTGTCGAAAACGTCTAGAAAAAATTCTTCAAACTGGTCCAAAAAGAGGTTTAAAAAAACCGACTACTGAAGAAATTGAACTTTCAAAGGTAAATTAAAAGTTTAATGTAACGATAGAAAATATAACATGAGAATAACAATAAATTATTCATGATTTAGATATCAAAATTATTCAAAAAAAGAAAAAGTTTATTTTTTCTACTGTTTAAAATATTTAAAAGAATTCAAATAATGATTCGAATAGAGAAATAAAAATTATCATTAGATTGATAGAGTTTCCAGAAAAACAAAGACCTAGTTTTGTTTAGACTACATTAAAATAATTCTCTACAAAATGAGACATCTTCAAGTTTGTTTGCTACTTGAGATATAACAATTTAATTGAAGGTTCAAAAATAATTTTTCTATAAGAAATAATAATAAAAAAAAAAACTTTGGGGGGTTTCTATAATATTGTTTTATCTCAGGTAAGAAAGCATCATAGAGAATTCGATGACGTCTCATTTAATAGAGAATTATTTTAATGTTGTCTAAACAAAATTATATTTATGTGTTCTAGGTGCCAAAAAAAAGAATAGAATTTTAGTTTTCGGAAGGCTATATCTTTGCGAATCGAATAATAATTTTTATTTCTCTACTCGAATTACTATTTGGATTCTTTCTAACTTTTTCAAAACATCCTATATACGAGAAAATAGTCAGTACAGTAGAAGTTGAGAAGATTTCAAAAATTATGCTAAGGATTTGAATTTGAGAGCTGCGGGTCCATGTTTTTTTGGACCCGGGCCTCGGAAAAACTAAATTTTCAGACCCGGACCCGGCTGAGTCTAGACCCAGACCCGGCCGGGTCTAGACCCGATCCTCTTTTCACCAATATTTGACACCCTATGTGTACATGAACAGAAAAGGGAACACAAGTTTAGCTCTTCATTGGAGACTTTAAAGGTCAAATGAGTGTAAAATTATTTCTGACTGTTTCTTTTTCAATTTTGTTAACTTCAATTGTTATTGTTATATATTTCCATTCATAACTTAATGCAGACCGGGTCTGACTTTCCTCTTAGGTTTAGACCCGGATCCGGACCGGGGTCTGGAAGGACCCGCAGCTCTCTAATTTGAATATAAGATTATGATAATTTTGTTAAGATTCTATTGCATTGGCACATAAGTTCTGAGAGTTTTTTTGTGCTGTAGACAAGTTTGAAACTTTATATCTCGTGATTGGAAAGTGATAGAGGTCTGAAATTTTTAGTATAGGTAGAAATCATAGAGATCTATCTACATTAAAAATTTCAGACCTCTATCACTTTCCAATCACGAGATACAAAGTCTCAACCTTATCTACAAAAACGCTCAGAACTTATGTGCCAATCTAATAGTAACATATTTTAATAAAAAGTCAAATAACGAAATTCTTTTGAAAAGAGAAAGATCACAAGTACACTTTTTTTTTTGTCTATTATGTAAGATTCATATAAGAAGAAACAACTATTCTATATAAAACTTTTAGGATATCATCTTGAACATAGTGAGATTTCTCTATGAACAAAATAAAAGATGTAAAGGTTCATATTCATATCTTTTTTTTTGTTAGAGATTAAAAACATTAAACAAAACTTTAAAATATCTTAACATTATCGATATCTATATTTGTTAATAATAAGTAAAAAAAAAGTTCATATGAACTCTCTCATTAATTTCACATTATTTATATTTAATTGTAGACTAATTCTAAATTTGTATTTAGCATACAATTCATTTTCCTTCCATGTTTGGTAGTACTCTTGAAGAAGTAATGGCTATGCAACGAACACGATATCCTGAAAGACGTTTACCATGGATACAAACAACCTTATCTGAAGAAGTATTAAAATTAAATGGTGCAAAAACTGAAGGAATATTTCGGTAAATTTGAAATTTATTAATTATTTTGAATTTCGAATTTTGTTTCTTTTTTTTTAGAGTACCAGGTGATTTAGATAGTGTTAATGCTTTAAAAGTAAAATGTGATCAATGGCAACTTCCATCACTTGAAGATGCTCATTTACCAGCATCATTATTAAAACTTTGGTATCGTGAATTAGCTGAACCATTAATTCCAACAATATTCTATGAACAATGTATATTGAACTGTGATAAAGTAGAAACATGTATACGTCTTGTTAATTCATTACCTGATATAAATCGAATTGTTTTAACATATCTTATTCGTTTTCTTCAAGTAAATTATTATTTTCTTGAGATTTTTTTTTTTTTTTTTTGAGAAAAAAAAAATGTTTTTATTTAATAGATATTTTCTACATCGGAAAATGTTATTTATACAAAAATGGATGTGAATAATTTATCAATGGTATTTGCACCAAATATTCTTCGATGTAATTCTGAAGATGCAAAAGTTATATTTGAAAATGCAAGAAAAGAAATGTTATTTATTAAAATTCTTATACTTCATTTGGATACTGATTTAATTGAAGGTGTTAATTAATTTTTCATCTGCTTATTAAGCAAATTCTTTTTTTTTCTTTTTCTCTTTATATATTTGTCTTTTCACAATTGATTAATTTGCTATTTTTTATTCATTAGAATCTCGTACATACACTTAAATGTATATGACATATGTTTGTTTTTTTTCTTTCTCTTTTTATTCAGGAACTTATATTCGTGCTTATGTTTATGTTTGTAAACAGAACAGTTTTTACAAGATTTATGCAAATTAAAAGAAAACATTAAATAAACAAAAAGAAATCGATGCTAGTCATTGAATTGTTTTTTTCGATGAACAATATTATTTAAAGTATATAAAATCATGTTTATGTCAGATATAATTTAATAAATAAAATCGATCAAGATTCTTCTTCTTCTTTTTTTTTGCGTCAAAATAAATTTAATAAAGATCTATCATCGCAAGATTTGATAAAACGCTTCAATGTATTTATATATGTTCACTTTCGAACTTATAATTTAATTATGAATGATATTCATAATTGAATTATATAAAGAGTAATATAAGATTTAGATGATGAAGTAAAGAAAGAAAGAAAGAAAGAAATATAGTTGTATATGATTAATCTATTCTTGAAATAATTAATACTTTTGTATAACCTTAAAGGTAATTCTTTAAAACTTATTATAAATTAAAAACAAAAGTTTATTTTTCTTTTTATTTCTATCTAAGTAATGGATTATTTCGCAAAAGGATTTATACTTTATTATTTCATATAGAAGAAAGGTATAGCTTACTTATAGCTAATTATCATAAACAGTGAAATTCTTAAAAAAAAAAATCTTGCAAAATTTTTCTTTTTTAACTAATAAGTAAATATAATCATTTGGTTAGTTAGGTATGAAAATATTTCATCATTATTATATTTTTGTTTTATTATTAATTCCCAAAAGAACATTATATCTAATGTTTTATTTTTTAAATGAAGACATCTTTTCTCATACATATGAAATATTTATGTATACTATACAGAGAACATTAATCTATTGGGAAATCTAGAACTTTCAAATTTATACTATTATCGAAATTAATCAGTAACTATAGAATTACAATTTTTTTTTTACAGAAAATAACTCACTGATTATTAATATTTCAAATATAATTTAAATTATCAATGCATTTTTTTTTGCTTCTTTATTATTGTTATTAGAAAATAATTTATATAAAAATATAATCATAAAAATGTATTTACCCCCAGATGTTATAAGATAACAAGAATCAATAGAAAATAAAACTACATGTAATTTCTATATAGATTGTCTTTTCTTTTCAACTTATCTTCTATTCTAAACATAAAATAATTTGACTAATAAATCAAATTGCATGATTTTGACAGTTTGTATTAATTATCAAAACCATAACTCATAATATAATGATCAGAGAAAAAAAAAGCCAGTAAAACTTATATTATAATCATGTATTAGTGTATTTAATCATTTCTTATTAAATATACAGATCTAGCAAAACTATAACATTCACACGTAAGGAAACAGTTGAAATCTAACAATGACTAATTAATATCTAAATTATTATTCATAGTTATTTCTCGGATGTCATTCTCTGTATGATCAAGTTTGTATTGAACTATTTTTAACTATAAAGAAGAATACAATATAGAAAGTTAATTATCCGATCGAAATTCAATTTTACTTTTCAAAATAACAAAAACAAAAACAATCATTTTATATCAAAATAAAATTAGGTCAATTTTCTTTTTTTTTTAAATGCGAATAATAAACTCTTCATATATTTCATGTCACTATCGATTATTTCAAGTTGACCAACTATCTTTACACATCATTATCTATTATTTCAATATAAAAACTTCAATTTAAAATGACAAAAAAAAAAAAATAAAATAAAAACAGAAAGTAATCTTGTATTCGAAATTGATTTATTTGTGTCAAAAAAAGAAAAGAAACCGATTGTGAGCAAAGAAGAAAACACACGACGCATACATAATTATAGTAAATAAAGACTAGTCAGCATCAAATTAATAGAATAGTAAACAAAAATTATTTGTTTTTTTCATACGAAGTAATTACACACATGTGTATATATATATATATATATTTGTGATTTTTTTTTTTTCGGAAATATTCTTGTTCTTTTTTCGTTGAAATATACATAGACATATAAAGATCTTTTTCTAATTTAATATATAAAAAGCAAACAAAAAGGAGAAAAAAAAAATGACTGAATTTAATAACTTTTCGTGTTGTACGTGTTTAAATATTAATAATAAAGCGAAATAGATCGACTAGTAAGACAAACAAAAGAAGAAGAAGAAAAAAAAAAACAAACTGTCACATGCACACATCTGACAACATATACAAACGAAAGAGAAGAAAAAAAAATATGAGAAAAAGATATATGGAATAGAATATTATTATTATTATTATTAAGTAATTTTTTTTTTTGTGTTAATTATATAATTTGTTATTTCTTTTTTTTTTTTTTCACTGTGTATACACATCTAGCCTGACTAGAAAAGTTATAAGAAAAAGAAGAAGAGTCACTGGAGTCCTTTTTTCTTCCGAACAAACAAAGGCTTATAGAGAACAAAAATATAAATAGAACGTTCCGATCATTTGATTTTTTTTTTTGAGCATAATATTAATATAACCCACAACCACGAAGATTTAATGTAATAATAACCTATGAAAATAAATTGAATATGAATATTAAGATTTATTTGTTTTTTTTTTTTTGTTGTTGAATAATACAAGAACAAAAAAAGAAATATTTACATCAGTAGTAGCATCAAATACAAACTGCACATTTTGTGTATCTGTTGCGCATGTATGATGACAATAAACTTCTTTTTGTGTGGATTTATTTTTAGCAACAAATTGTGCTTGAATATAATCAGCAGCTGGATCATATTCATTTGGTCCTGTATATTCACGAAAACAGAGTGTTAATGGTGAACGTTTGATTTTTTCTTCGAATAAATCCTTTTTATTTAAAAATAATATTATACCCGTATAAACAAACCTAAAACAAAGAAATAAAAATTTTTATTTTTTTATTTTCTAATATAAATGATTTCAAAAAAACAAGAAAACAAACCATTTATTATTACAAATACTATCGAATAAACGTAATGATTCATGCATACGATTTGTTGATTCATCTTCATAAAGTACTTGATCATATTCAGAAAGTGCCACACAAAAAATAATAGCAGTTACATCTTCGAAACAATGAATCCTATTTTATAAAAACAAAAAAAAAAAAGTTTTAGATTTATGTATAAAATAAAATAAAAACTGTTAACAAACCATTTCTTTCTTTCTGATCTTTGTCCACCAACATCAAATAATCGAAAATTTAAATTTTTAAATGAAAAATTAATTTCTACAATTCCAGTTGTTTTAACACGTGTTCGTAATATATCTTGTTCATTAGGTAAAAAATCTGGTGAACCAATTCGATATAATTGATCAAGAAAATATTGTGCCGAATCATTTAATTGATATTCATTACTACGTAAAAAACATTGTTGAACACCAGGATCAGCCCATAAACGTTCCATTGATGATAATAATTCACTATTAAATGGTTCTGTATCTTTCATACGTTGTATAACTTCAAGTACACGTTGAGCATCAGCTTCTCGTTCAATAGATGCAAATTGTATATTAAGCATATTCATAGCTCGTATAATTGCTCCTAATGATTGAATTGTATTTGAATAAACAACTGGACGATACTGTTCAAATTCTTCTTTAGTATAACCATGTTGATGAATAATACGCATTTGTTTAACAATTGTTGATTTACCCGATTCACCAGCACCTATATTTTAAATGAGAATAAAAATATTTGAAAGTCTGTTTTTTTATTTTTTAACATACCGAGTAACAAAAGTTTAACATCTTTAGCTGCACGTTCAGCATCTTCTTTTATCAAACGATCAAGTGCTTTGCTATACTATAAACAAACAAAAAAGAATTGTATTCAATCATATTTTTGAATTATTAAAAGGAAAAAAAATGATTAGAAAAGCATTTTAATATAATTTAAAACAAAAAAAGTGTTATGTTAATCAAATAAAGGCATTTAATTTTTTTTTTAAATAAAAATCTTACTCTTAAATAACTTCTGAAATCAAAGAATCAAATAATAAACAAAATCTTTGAATATAAAAAAGATTGAATTGCTTACTTCTTTTTGTCGTTTCTCATCATGACTTGTTGCACAACCCATTTTAAATATTTATACTTTATTTAATATAAATAAAATATGAAAATATTCATTTACACAATTCTGATCAATAGGTTATGTTGCTTTCTGATCCTAGAGAATAATCTTACAACAGAATAGTAGTGACGAGACGCCATTTTTTCTTTTCTTCAATGATTCAGCATTTTTTATTAATAAATGTATAGATGCTTTAAAATAATGCAGTTCAAACAGTTTTAAATAGAAAACAAAAACAATTCTATGAGAAAATATAGAAATTTCGTTTTAGATAATTTAAAAAATTTATCTAATCATTAATCGTTCGTTTTAATAACGAATAAAGTTAATTCAGAATTTTACGTTATTCGTTTGTTAGTTTTTTTTTTCAAGATTTTATTTGATTTTTAAATAAAATAAAAGATGAATTTAACAATTGAAAATTTACTCTTGGATATGAAAGAAGAACGGAAAAAAACAAAAAATGATGAAGGTAATTTTAGATTATTATAAAATAATTTAAAAATAATATTAAGACTTAATTAGATGATGATTATATACTTGTTCAACAAGTAAATAGTCAATGGCCAAAATTATTTGATATTTATTTTTTATCAACAACAACACGTCTTACTCAAACATCAACTTGTACAACAAGTGATGATGATCTTATTTTTTATGTTAGACGTAAAACAATGGATGAGTTTCAACGTTCATTAGTAAGCTAAAAAAAGATAAATTTCAATTAAAATATTCAAAAATTCTTCTTTTGTTAAGCATTCCGTAGAAGCTTTTCGTCATCATGATACAAAACGTCAACCAAAATTAGTAAGAAAATAATCAATTTTAATTAGAATAAAAAATAATAATAATAATTTAGGCATCACCAGACTATGATTGGGAAGAAACAACAAATCTTAATCTTGTTCTTCATCAATTTGAATATACAGTAACAATAGCTGTTTGTATTAAATCAAGTAATAAACATTTACAAGTTATAAAACGTTTATCAACAGTAAAGAAATCTATTTATTTAATAAAAAAGAATTATATTTACATATATTTAACTTTCTTTTTTTTTTTTATGTTTTAGAGAGTTTATGCAAGTCCATCACGTCGTGATATGGAAAATAAAGGAATAGAAGAAAAAATAACTTATCCAAATATATATTTTATTGTTGATAATTTTGAAGATGTAAGTTTATAAAGTAAAAATTATTAAATTATAATTCAATATTCTTATAGACATTTTGTGAAATGATTGTAAACGAAGGTCAGATTGTATGTGTTGAATTAATAGCAAAAAATCCTGTTTTAAATGAATCAAGAGTTTTATTTCTTGGTTCTATTAAATATGAAGCTTTAAAAAATGTTTATGAAAATCGAGTAAATATTTAAAAGATATATTTTTCAAGATTTGGAATTTAAAGAATTTTCCTAGGCTACAACAAGTATTCGTGTCGCTCAACGAATGTCATTAGGAATGTATACAAAACAACGAATGGAATTTGTTCGAATGCGTGGACCGAATGTAAGTGTTTCTTTTTTTTTTTTTTTTTTAAAGTAAAAAGTTAGATCATCGTCTACATGATGATTTACATGTTAATAGTAAATATTAGAATTGAGATTCAAATCATAATCGAGTGAAAATTAAATTTCAACTTCTGAAATCAATAATGATTATTCATAATCTTTTATTGATGAACTAGAAAGAAAACTATTCAAAGATTCTATTTTAAATCCATTGAATTATTTTAATATTATCTGAAATTTTGATCTTCTTAGCTCAATTATATTAGAAATAATTCAAAATAGTACTTGTCGTAGATTCAACCTGAAAATCTCTTTTCTTGACCTTATATTTTATCCTTCTAACAGACAGTCCATAAGGAATGGAACACTTTGATTTTTCTTTTTTTCTCAAGGCACTATTCTAAGCTCATTCGATAGAGAATTTTTTTGCTCTACAAAAGTGTCGATTTCGTTTTTCATGTCGTAGAAAAATCGAAAAGATTTACAGCTATTGAATTACAACTGTCAGAAAACAAAAAATCATTATTATAAATATGTTTAAACAAACGAGCTCCACCGAAATTCGAAATATGCTGTAAGGTACGCTGTGAAATATTGCATCTTACAATTCTTGAGAAGATCTCGAAAGCATAGAGCATAATATTCTCTATCTATTCATGCTAAATAATTTACATTTAACATTGAACTTAATGAGTACAAGCTGTTACAAATCGTTAGATGTCCTACAGAAAATAGCAAGAGATCGTAGTTGAGTTAGTGAAACAACGAACAATCTTTTCAATTTTTCGTCCACAAGAAAAACTTATTTAAAAAATGAAGTCCACACTTTTTCAGTTCATTATAATGTAATTCTTGAAAACAGTTAGAATAAATTTTTTGAAGCATTTCTAGATTAATTAATAATTGAGTTAAACTCTTAAAGATTAGAAATTAAATACTTTAAACAAGAAAATGTTTAGCAAAAAAAAATATATATATTATAGGGCAAAGGTCATGCAGAAATGGCTGTTAGTCGATATCGATCAAATCAATCTGAGATAACACCTGAATCAAGTCCAACAACACCACCGACAACTACATTTGATGAAGAAAATGTATTTTGAAAAATAATTATTCTATAAAATAGATTTTTGTTTATTCTATAGTGGAATCAACGTCGTACAAATGAGAATGATTCAGTGAGTCAATACATTCCATCGACATCGAACCAACAACAAAATTCATCTAATGCAACAGCATCAGAAGTAGAATCAACTGATACTCAACGAGGTTATTTAGAAAATTATACAAAAAAAAAAAAATAATTTATTTCTAAAAATCTTTGTTTATTTAAGAATTATCTGATGATACAAGTGGTTTTCTTGGTCGTACATTAAATCAAGCAATGAATTGGATGCGTGGATCAAATCCAAATCTTAATCAATCAATAAAGACTTTTCCATTACAAACATGTCTTACATATTTAACATTACCTTGTGATTTAATTGTTAAAGATATTCTTGAACCAAATTCAATACCTATTCTTACAGCTCCATAATCAAACCAAAATCTTTCAAAAATAATGAATTATTATGTGAAACATATACTTCCGTCTTTCTTTTTATACAAGTGTAATTTTCTTTTTATTTTTTTGTTTTCTTTAGTTGTACAGTAATATGATGAGATATTTACACAACGTTTATTTTGTATTTCATTTAGTTTCATATATTTTGTTTTTATTAAGTGAAAAAAACAATCAGTGATTTTGCAATATATATCTATTTATTTTTTATTTTAATTTTTCTATTTGTTATGCTTGAGATAATATACATGTATGCTGATCATCAAATTTGTTTAATATTCGTTGAAATTTTGGATTAATTCAACAATATTTATCTATTGTTATCGATTACAATAAAAATATTAAATTTATTTAAATAAAAAAATAACACACACACACACACGCCTATTACAATGAATATCATGATGAATTTAAAAAATTCTAAAATTAGAAATAAAATTTGAATGGAAAAAGATTCGTACATTATTTACAACCTGTTTATGAAAGAATAAAATATTAATGAGATTATATTAATCTATGTTTATTAGTATGTGATTAAACTATGTAAAAAATTTTTTGATAAAATAGTTTTATTTTAATTTATTCATATAAAATAAATATGGAATTGAATATTTGTAAATGGTAGGTAGATTATTGATTTGTCTAAATACAAGAAGTTTTCATGTATGATTTTTCATTCAAGAACTCGATATTAAATGTCGAATTGTGAATAATACTTATCAAATCTTTGATTTAATTAAAATAATGAATTGTAATTTCATATAATCCAATGAAGAAGTAAGTAATTAACATACTCTATAGGAATTCGAATTGTAATTTTCAAATCTCAAGAATTTTTTTTGATAGAAAAAATATTAATCAATTCTATGGGTTTAACTTTTCATATATCTTCAATTCTAATTTACAGAAAAATTAATTTGAAAGTAAATATGAATTAACATCTCTGTTTTTGACATATGAGATCATTGACTATTCTTCCCATAGAAATTGAAAATATTTCAAATGGCATATTGAACTAACGCTCCTGTCTCAAAGAAAAAAGAGCTCTTGCATTTGATGGATCGCCAAATTTGTCTTCTCTAGTTGACTGGAACAAATAAAAAAACAAACTTATCTTTTTTTTACTTATGTCATCTGAACGCTTTTCCTCAGAATACAAACTATTATTTAAAAAAAACTTGCTTACTTGAAAGGACATAATGTATATAGTACAAATGTTTTATATAATTGACTACTACATCGAAATAAAAGAATGCAATTAATCGAGTTAAAATCAATCAGTCTGAATTCTATGAGAATTGCTTGTTACAGTGTACTGAGCTTGAGCATTCATAGAGACTTTAATTAATAATATACTCAGAAGCAAAACATTGTATACAAGTCTTATCTATTTCTTTATTTCATAATGCTATGGAATTTCGTTGTTCCTGACTTTCTAAAGTAAAGGGAAGCTTAGGGTATTTCTGTCGTTTTGCTCTTAGTAATTCTCTATCATAGAGGCTGCTTATTTCTGATTGGTTCGAATAGTGCGACAGGCAAGCGCACATGCTTATTTGTGCTGACATATAATCATCTCTCTTTCTCTCTTCTAAAAAAACAAAGAATTGTACAAAAATCTTATCAACGTAAACACATTGTCTAAATGTCTTTTATTTCCGATAAAGTTATTGATTTATTTTAGAAATGTCATATTTTTGAAAAGCATCTTTATTTTAATAAGAGACGAACTTGATGTTAGTCATATTTATTTAGTAGTATGCAATATACATAAATCAAAAAAACATCAAATTTACTATTGTCATTGATTGATTTTGTTTGTTCTACTAAAGACAACATATCTGGCTTTTTGATTGATTTAGTAGTCGAAACAGGTGATGGTTTTTATCATATTTAACAAGTTTGAAAGCTAAATAATGATTATGTGCTTGACATAAAACTATAAATTATCATTATTTGCAATTCAATAAAATGTAATCTTTTTTTTTTTTACGTACTATATGTTATTCAATATAAGGTAAACATTTTTAATTATGTCTGCTTTCTATTTCATTATTCTAATGTTAATTTCTTTGTTTTTTATCATCTAGAGACACTCAATATTTATTATTACATAATTGATTGAAGTATAGCAGTTGGTGCATCTAATATTTTAGTGTTGTGTATTGGTAAGTGCATATTATTTGCCATGCATTCTATCAATATGATGTCTTCTTTTTTGACTTATTTTAGATTAATAATATTTATTCAACAAATAATAATAACAAAAAATGGAGATTAATATTTATATATCAAAAATATGCAAGATCCTTTATAACTCATAGATTCAATTAAAATTTGTCTGATATTGATATAACCAATGATATATTGTCTGTAATCATTGATGCCAAAACAATATATAAAATTAAAAAAAAAAAATCTGATGTGAAATAACTAACTTATTCGTAGTCTTGTTTTTAATTAGAAGATTTTTCTAAATTTTTTTTATATATTCAAATAGTATTTCTCTTTAAGAAATAAAGAATTTATTTTACAGTTTAAAATTTTTTTTGTTTTCTAAACTAAAATTTAGAAAATAATACATATTGAAATTTTTGTTAAATTCTATTAGTCTAGTGAAAATTAAATTTAGTAAATATCATACAATGGCAAAAAATTAGAAGATTATGAAAAATTTAATATTATGTAAATACAAAATAAAATCTTTTTTTTTTTTTTTTTCTATAATAAATACAAATAGTAAAACAAAAAAAAACAAAATTTATTTTTTAGATAATGGATTCTGAACAAATAGATGATAATAATCTCGATAAACAATATTTTGAATCATACGATAAATTTCAAGTTCACGAATTGATGTTACGTGATCGTCCACGTGTTACTGCATATTATGATGCTATTATGAGTAATAAACATTTATTTGAAAATAAGGTATTTTTTTGTAATTCATATTTATGTCATATCGACATTACACATCGGTTGTTGAAATTACAACTTCGACAGAAAAAAAAAAGAAATTTGTCGAAATAACTTCAATTATATCTGTTAATTAATGATATTAAAAATAATGTAAAAACATAAAAGAAATTATTGAGAATAATTTTAACATTACTTTTTTTTTTCTCATACTTTATATTATTATAGATCTATTCTGATGATATTAAGGTCTGTAATTAATGAAAGAAATGCGTAGAATATTCTACTCTGCTTTAATTAGTACATAGCCATAGAATTAGAATAATTCTCAATATATATGTTTTTATTCCAGAATGTTTTCCATTTTTTTTGTTTGCTGTGAAACTCGATCTTCATTTTGACATTAAAAGCAAGATTATGATGAAAAACAAAAATAAGTTTCAGATGCAGAATATGTACTTCATACTATGGTTTTCTTCTAGTGCAATCAAAATATGTTATATACTGTAAAAAAAAACAAAATAGATGGAAGTGTTTCAATATAAACAACAAATGTTAAAAAATAAATTTTTTTAACATTTCGTCAATCACGTTCCAAGGTTATAACTTGCTCTTTTCTGTTTTACCTATTACTTTTCTTATAATGTTTGTCTGACATATTTTTTCTTTGAGATTAATTTCATTGCATTAAAAACAGATATGCTATTTTAGAAGGTTTCGAAAAATAAAACAAAATCGAAACTTTTCTATGGTATTGTAAACATCTGTAGAATCTTCTTGAAGTTTTATGAAGCTCTATAATACTAAAAAAAAAAAGATTTTATAGTTCGTATGAAACCTTAGAAAAGATTTGAATTCTCAGAACTTTTTTTTTGTTTTCACAGTGGTAGAATTTAAATTGAACTAATACATAAATAATACTGACGCGTAGTATTTTTCTTATTATTATAAATTTACAATATTATTTAGATCAGAACATAGTATTTTCGATATCTTTTTCATTAGTTACAGACTTTAGTATCATCAGAATAGATCTATAAAATCATATAAAGTATAAACAAAAAAAAGTAATGTTTAATTTTTTCTCAATAATTTCTTTTATGTTTATTCGTCAAAAAAAAAAAAAAAAAAAAGAATCATATAAATATTTTTTAAATGAAAAATTTGTTATAATTTTATGCATTGCTTCCTGTTTAAATATCATTAGTCAACTGATAATTCAGTTACATCGCAATAACTTCGATATGACATTATATAGATAATAGAAGAATTATATTTATAAACAAAAAAAAAAAAAAATATGTAGGTCATTCTTGATGTTGGTTCTGGTACAGGAATATTAAGTATGTTTGCTGCTAAAGCTGGTGCTAAACTTGTTTATGCTGTTGATGCTTGTCCAACAATATGTGATTTAGCTATAGAATTAATTAAATGTAATCATTTACAAGATAAAATTCAAGTAATTAATAAACCTATTGAAGATATTGACAAATTCGATGAAAATATCGATATTATTATTAGTGAATGGATGGGTAAGATTTAAAAAAAAAAAAAAAGTCAATATTTTATATTTAAAATTTGATCTCAAGGATATGTATGTAAAAAAAATATAGTGAATTTCAGGCATGACATATTTCTAAACCAAAAACAAAGCCATATGAAATTAATCTATTTAGGTTTTTATCTCTTTCATGAAAGTATGCTTGAATCAGTTATTTATGCTCGTGATCATTTTCTTAATTTATCATCTGGTAATGATGATATTACATCTGATCAAAATGAATCAATTATTATTTTTCCTTCACATGCTTATTTGGTATGTTAATAAATTTTTATTTTTCAATATATATATATTTTGAAATATAATATGTTGTTATTTTTTATTTTTTGTTATTCTAGTATTGTGCTCCATTTGTTGATCAAAATATACGTATTGAATTAAATACAATGTGGAAAGATTATTTTGATCTTAATATGTTATCAATTCTTCCATATATAAAAAATTCTAATCTTAAAGAATGTATTATTGAAACAATTGAACCATCACAACTTGTTCATGATGCTCAATTAATACAATCTATTGATCTTCGTACAATACGAATAGATGATCTTTATATAATGCGTTCATTTTGTGAATTTGATATAGATAATACATGTATTATATCAGGTTTTTGTTTTTGGTTTGATTGTTATTTTTCTTCAAATAATAATTCATCAATATTACGTTCAACACGTTTAACAACAAGTCCATATTCAATAAAAACTCATTGGAAACAAACACTTGTATTTTTAACAGAAGATATTTATCCATTAAAAGGTGATACTGTACCAGTGAATATTAAATTTAAAAAATCTTTAAAAAATCGACGACAATATCAATTATCAATAGTTATTAAAAAAATTAAAGAAGGATTTATGAATAATAATATTATTGATAATGAAAATTTAAATAATGATTTAAATATACGCAAAAGACAAAGACGACGTTCATCAACTATTTCATCAGATAAACGAAATATTAATGATAATAAATCAATGCATAAATCAAGTGATAGTTCAAGTAGTAATACGGATGATGATATTGATTCTAATGAACATCCTATTCCATGCTCATGTGTTCGTGATAGATGCAAATTAATCAAAACAATTTTGGAAAAATATAATGAGGAAAATACTGTTCAATGAAACAGTCATTTGTTTTTTTTTTTATATTTCTTTTTTTATGAAAAGAATTAATCTCAAGTGTGCGGTGTATTTAACGAAATCTCGGGCCTGTGTGTTTGTGCCTTTTGCAATTTAGAAAGTCAATGCTATTATAAAAGCATCGCTATTTTTTCTTTTAGATAATGAATAAAAATTTACAAAGGATTCATCAGAATAAACATTCAAAGTCATCGCGAAAATCTCATACAAATATACGTCGAACAAATAAAACCGGTGAAATATCATTTCAAATTTCACAACGATCTGATATTCATTCTGAACAAATATCAAATAATTTTGATCATGATTTGTTAAATGAAATTATTGAAGATTTAACATCAGATATTGATGATACACGAGCACCATCGACATCATCTATTCTTTCAACAGAATCAAAAACTAAAACTAATGAAACAAATTCATCATCAACATATAATAGATTTTTATCAGTAATTAATCCTTTACGTAATCCAAGATGTTTAATAGAAAAAAAACCTTCAAGATCATCAAAAAGAGGAGGAAAATCTGATCAATATGAAAATGAAACTTTTCATTCATTGAATCGTTTAAATAGTTTCGATGAAAAATATGATAAAATAAATTCTAAAAAACCTATTGGTGAACAACGACGCGATCAATTAACTAAACATATGAAAGAATTTTATCAAGATTGTTTTAAATTTGATCAAAATTCAAATGTAAATTATATTCATGATAATCTAACTAATAATGATAAACGAAAACAATATTCTACAGCATTATGGTAAATCAAAATACAAAGAAATTCTTTCTATTTAAAAAACAAAAAATTTATTTTTTTTTTTACTAGGTATGAATTAAAAACATTTTTTAATGGAATAAATTCATTAGATGAAAATGGTATTAAAAATGAACAATATTTAATTGATCGTCAACGTAAAAAATCTCTCGATGAATTTTATAATTTTTTTAGTCAATGTGATTTTGAACAAACACATTATCATGATATTCAAATAATTCAACGTCGTCATATATGTGAATATCATTTAAATCATTGTTATGATGTTGAAAATCGTATGAAAAATTTATTTTTAAAATGGGATTATATTTTATCATTATTTCCATCATATTCAACACTTGAACAATATGATAAACGTTTTAATCCATGTACAAAAGAAGGAAGAATTTTTTATGAAAAATTTTATATTTTTCAAGCATGGTTTAATTTACATTCAGAAATTAATCATTTAATTAATATACTTGGTCGTATAATGACATGTACGAAATATCATATGTGGCCACAAGAAACATATTCATTAATAGGAAAATTTAATAATGAAAATTTATCTCGTCCAACAACACCATCATCAACATCAAGTTATGAACAACGAGATTCAATTATAGGTTCACCACCTAATATATCATCTTTTTTAACAACACCGGAAACAAGAATTAAACGACAAAATACATTTACATCAATGTCAAGTTTTGATAGTATGCATCAACAACCATTAACATCAGCATCATCATTAATGGAATATTATTATAGGTAAAAAAAAAAAAAAAACTAATTAGACAAAAAAAAAACCCTATTTCCGATAAGTAGAATACATGCTATTATAGATATAGAGTATGTTATTTCAATATAGTAAGTTTAAATAAGGTTAAAACTTTTTCTTTTAGGATATTGAGTATTGTTTGAAATGTTTATTTATAGTTTTGCTTCGACTGAACAAAAAATAAAATCCTAGAAGAATGAACTAGAATTCAATTTAAAAACATGACAGAACGACGTTTATTGAAAAATTAAATAATAATTCACTGGTTTGTAAGTAATTATGTCTTGTCACGACAGATTTATTATAAAAATCATATTAATTGAAGTGTGTTATTATAAATGTAGAATAAGTGAAGGCGTTACAGAGTGTCATAGACATTTCAATTGTTTTCAACTGTCAGATCTATAAGTCTTTTGTTAAAGAATTCAATATGTATTATTCATTGTATGTCATAAGAAACCGAAATATGATGAATATTTCAACCGGAAATTGTTACAGGAAACAGCAAGACGTCTTCAAGACATTTAAACTGAGGTAGATTATAAAATGGATGAGTAACCTAATGAAAAATTTTCTTCGTATTCATACCTTCTTTTTATCAGTGCAAAAGATCGAGTAAAAATAGTGTTATTTTAATTTATCTATATAATAAAAACAAAATATCTACCAATAAAAAGAGAGATTCCTTGTAACTGAGTATCATCATTTAGTTGTAGGATGAGATTCATTTTCTTTTTTGTATTATTTCCTAGATGTTCTTATCATTTGATAAGAGATTTTGAATCTCCTGAAAATTGAAAGAGTACGTATTGAACAATGATGAATTAGAATGAATAACATACACACATCAGTTCTAATGAAATCATTACTAGCTGATGGAATTACATAGATAACACATATTCTGAAAGATTGATGTTTATATTTAGTATAGGATTTTTTTGTTTTGAAAAAAGATTGCTCCTTGCCGTACCTTGATGATAGTCTGTGATTTCTAACATTAACTTATCTTAAAAATCTACTAGACATAAACAATAGAATATTGTTCAGTTTTGAAAGTTCATAAAGTTATTTAGAAATGTTTATTTCAAATAAGGAGAAAAAGAAGAAGTATGTTTAAACTAAAAATCTATATTTAGATATATTGATGATCAAGTAACACATGCTCGAATTGAATTAGTTGCAAGTATATTTCGTTCTAAACATGGTCCTTTATTACAACGTTTACGTTATACATATCGAAAAGAACATCGAACAAGTTTTTCAACATTTGATGATATATTTAAAAATTCTCCATTTTTTCCAAAAAAATTAATACCAAATGATTATTTATTAGATGCTAAACCTGATAAATTAATCGATGAATTTTTTATTCTTAATAAACAATTACAAGAACAAAAAACTTCTAAACTTGGTATCTTATTCTTCTTCTTATGTTAACATACAGTATTAGTCAAAAATATAAGACTAACGAATTTTTTTTTTCTATAGTATCAAGTACATTGAGCTCAAATTCAAATAGTAATTTCAATAGCTAATGAAGTTTCTCTATCCATATCGAAACTTCATAATCTCAGAAAAGTATCTAAAGTTACTTTTCTAAAGAGTTCAAACTTTTGCATAAAGTGAAGAGTTGCCGCATTTCCTACGATCCTCTCTTAAAATATTATAATCATCACAAACAATGTAAAAAAAAAAGCGAAATTTATTATAGCATTGCTAAAAAATGCATTTTTTTTGTGATGCTTATAACATTTTAAGGATGGCAACTCTTCGTTTTATTCAAGATGTTGTATTCTTTAGAAAAGTAACTTTATATACTTTTTCTGGAATCTGAAAGCTACCGTGTTTGGTTTTTCAGCAACCTTTCTCTCATAGTTCATCTATGAAGTTTTGATATGGATAGAGAACTTCATTGGCTATTGAAACTACTATTTGAATTCGAGTTCAATGCCCGGTACTGTAGAAAAAAATATATATATTGGTCTTACATTTTTGACCAGTGCTGTAAATATGCATATATATGTCTTATGTTATTTTATTTTTGATTAAAATAGTAAATAAACAAACAAACAAATCTACAAGAATTTATTTTGATAAAGTTAATAATAAACTTAAATGTTTTGATCAAAATCCAATATTAACATCAAGTACATTTCCACCAGTACCAGCACCAACATTAGTTTTAAAACTTTTATCTTATGATAGATGTATACTTAAACGTCAACCATATTATCTTGATTATCTTGATCCAACATTATATCCACATTTACCTGGTTCAACATTATTTCCTGATCCATGTTCATTTCTTGATTATTCATCATTAAATTTTTCTACGCAATTACCAACAGATGAAAATATTTTAATTGCTAAAATTTTAACAATATGTCATCGTCTTTATGATAAACATGTTTGGGTTGATAGTGGAAGATTTTCTGATATGTGTGATATATTTCATTTACCATCACTTTATCCACATTATGTTTTTCTTGTACAAATTCCATTAGATTTAATGATTTCATGGCAAAAATATCATCAAGATAAAAAAATGGAACAAACATCAACTACAAGTAATTTAAAAACGATATATTATCAAAAATTTCGAATATGTTTGTATATATATATATAGTAGCAGATCTATAAATCATACAAACTCATGTGATTCGAATCGAATACAAACCGTCGCTAGTTTGATATTTAAACGGTTGGTTAATTCTGATTGCTGCTCTATTGTGGTATACCGATAGTTGTCTTTGACCGGCAATCTTCCGCCGGTTCTTATAAGTACCGTAGTAGTGCGAACAAATATACGACATAATAAGCAATAATCACACATTCAAAAAGTTCTTTTCGAAAATAAGTTTTCTATTCGGATATTTTTTTTTCTTCATCTAAGCATTCTAAACAAAAAAAAAACACTTATTGTTTTCCATCCTATGCGAATATCTAAATAAATGATTTGCTGCTTTATTATAATATTAAAAAATTTCATTCAGTGATTATTTTCTTTTCTCTTCTAGGTGCTCTTCTTTTATTAATTGATGAATGTAAAATTTTAATACATAGTGCAACATTAATACGTCAATATGTTAAATTAATGATAACAGATACTTTTGGTATAGATTTTTATATTTTTTAATTTTTTCTTAATTATAATTCTTTTGTTTTTTATTTTTGTTTTTTTGGAATTAAAGAAAAAGCAGAATTAAAATTAATTGAAGATGATTTAATTCAATTTGATAAACATATAATTGATACAATTCATGAAATTCTTTCTTATATTGAACGTTATATAGAAATATCATTAAATTCAAATTTATTTCATAATTGTATTATATTATTAAAAGATCAATGGATATCATTAAAAAAATATTCAACTATGATGAATATTGAAGAAATTCTTGGTGAAAAATTTTTAAATATTTATTCAAAAATTATTAAACATTT